AAACATTACATACCTTAGGTATGTTAAATCAAATTTAATACCGGCACAGGCAGAATTTTCTACTCCTTGGACCTATTGTTTTAATTTAGAAAATCCTACAATTCGGATAACACACATGTTCAATATCTCAGTAAAAAAACAAACGAAAGATTATGTAGCAGAGCGAAACCCCCAAACACCAATTTTTAACCTATTACATGTTATTATACATATAGAATTTGTTATGGAATTTTTCTTTTTCGGGATTTATGGAACAAATCAATTAACTGGAAGGAAAGCACAAGTTCATGAAAAATATATAAGAGGAGAGATTTTTCTGGGACCCTCATGGCTATATAACTTGGTACATCCAAATTTAAACACGCACTTAACTAAACCTTACCACATTCTTGTTCTAAAGAACAAAATCTGAACAAGTGATCTCTCAGAAGATAAAATCATGCATTAAATTCAGCAAGTTGTCTATTGCATTTTGAAATCTAATCTGAACTTCAATTAAATTGTCTTGTTTGTCTTAAAAGGGAACGTCCTGCTGCTCTATCGTATAGCAGTGGTAGTTGGCAATCCCTATGAATAAGACAATTGACTTTTCAACAGCCTCAAAGAGTATGTTACTATTTAATATTTAACATATTAAATAAAACTAAGCAGTAGATCCAAACAATTGTAATATTCTTAGAAATAATTTATATAAATATCCATTCAATTTGTGGCCATGGAAAGACAAGAAATGCTCTGTTACTTTTTATATACAAGATGATTTCAAACCAAAACATGACTTAAAGACACTCAAATTCCTGTAAAATGGTCAGAATAAACAATCTTGAAACAACGATGGCTTTTTGGAAAAAAAAAACATTTCTTTGGCATAGTCTGAAAACTAAAAGAATAAGTAGGAATCATGTAGAGTACCTTCATCCACAGTACAAAGTTCACAATAAAAACAAACTAGGATTAATCACATTTGTTTTATTCCATGGCATCTAATGAATCATGTGCTATTGCCTCAAAATCTCTGCTTTTATTACTTTCTACTTCTGAATAATGAGATTGCCATCTGATCAGACCATGTGCTAACTTGGCATTTAAATGTACTTAAATGTACTGCCATTTATAATTACATTCCACTGTTAAATCAGAAAATAATTCTTTAACACAACATACACTTCCTTTGAAAACTTAATTTTAAGTTCAATAGAAAAGACACCACCAGCTATCTGTCCTCCAATCACACTGTAAATTCACTTTGTCAATTGGTAAATAATTCCAACCATGAAATACTTCTTGGATTGTTGAAATTGTACCTCTCCTTTCTCGTGTTTCTTGTTTTCCACATTCTTTGTTTGCAGTTCTATGTTCAGCTTTACAAGAGAATTCCAACACCTTGTTTCACTACTCACTTCAGATGTTGGTGGTAGGCGTGGGATGTGTGTGTGTGAGGAGGTTGTGTCACTTCATGTTCAACAGGTCAGGTTAGGCCCTTCTTAACCCGAACACAAATTAATTAAAAATATGATCCATCTTTTACCTCATTTTAGGGAATTGTTCCACATTCCTGAACATTCCTGATCATACTAGTGATTAAATGTTAAAATATTTTAACGTTTATAAAGATGCGAAACAAAGCATCACAGGGAGTTAAGCATTATGAACTGAAATGCAAACAAGCTACACCACCTTCATTCAAGGCATGTTTGTCCAGTTTATGCTCATACACAAACCTTTTCATTTGAACTTCAGATCTGCCATGCACACACTTGGAAGGAACCCCAGCCTTTACAGGCACTTAACAGGCTTCATGGCATCCCTCACTATCCATAAATGTCACATTAAATTAAAAGAACATAACTACACATTCTCTACCATCAAACATCAGACACTCTTAATCATGTCACCTTTAACGCCAGTAAAACCAAAGCCTTTTTAAGAACTGTTGACAGAATAACAATGAACATCCTTCCATTGTTTCCAGAAACGCAAACACTCACTCACTCATGCAGTCTCTTGAATGCCCACTGCAGCTGTTTCTGGCATCTTCTCCTCTGGATCTGGAAGGCACTGGGACTCATGACCTCCTCTTATGGTTATTTGTATTAGTATACAAAAATGCCTTTTTGGCAATCACTGGTAACATATACACCTGTGTGTTTAAAAAACCTGTCTCATTATTTAAGAAATACAGGTATCTCAAGAAGGCAAATTAATAAACAATACTACAGACCTTTTGCTATTACATACATAGATGATCTAACTGATTTAAAAGCAAAATGTGTTTTTAGATATGTTACTGTGAGCTTTTGTATGTTGTGTTATGTACATTTTGACCTTTTGATGGTTTTCTCCTTTTTCTAACATTTATTTTGATATGTTCTTTTGTACTGAACTGATCAATGCAATGGCTGTCATGAAAAGAGGTATATAAATAAAAAATCTGTGACTAACTGGCTGCTGCAGGAAATGCACATACTATGAAAGACCTGTGGGTGCAAGTTCACTGCTCAAGATACTTTTGTGATTCCCTATTCCCCATTTTGCATAAATTAGCAAACTTTCATACTTGTTTCTCCCTTTAAAACGATATTTCAATTGAACGGCTAATTAAATAATAGACTGTTACCCGAGAGTCTGCAATGTCAAGCTAGACAATCAGGTCATGTTTCATGGTTCATGTAATCTGTTCTTACTAAATGCAAATTGTAACCAATCTTTACAAGGTCAGCATAACAAAAACACGAGGGGAGCCTGGAAGTCTCAGTCTCAGACCAGACTGCAAGAGTGAGGCTTCAGGCGAGCCAGGATCCAGCAAAAGAAAAGTAGCTGTCCAAGGCAGAGAAACCTAAAAGCATAAAACTAAAGATGAGTTCTTAACAGTCCTGGTGCTTCCTGATTCCAAACGTTTCTGTTTAATAACCTTTTATATGCAAATGTCTCAAAGATGCAGCAAGGACATAAGCTTATGTTTAACTACTGTATTAATTAAATGTATTAATTAATTAAATGCTTCAGCCACAACACCACAATGTTACAATGTGTAGTGACATATTGTCATGTAGTGATAAAAAGATCAGTATCTCAAAATAACAATCATTAATTTTCACAACATATTCTGACATGACATAATCACAATTTTAAGATGTTTTTGACATTCTTGATCTAGTATTGATTTTAATGAACCAGAAACCGTGTGATCAGCCTAAAGCACAAATCTTCCTAAAAGCAGTTTATGACCTTGTTCTTATATACATAACTGACATATCATAAGCAATTTGTCACATCTCCACCTAGTGAGCTGTGTAGTGGGGATGCTAACACAGAATTGCTGGCAAGTCTCACCCAGGTAGGTGCTACATTTCAGTGGAAATGTGTCCCCTACTATATGTAAAGCATTTTGGGAATACATTGGGATGAAAAATGCTATATAAATGCAAATTGTTATTCTATTTATCTACCACAGACTTGTTTCTTTTTGAAAGCTAAATGTAAAACAAAAGCTCTCTGGCGACTCTTGTCACACATCCCCATTTTCATGACAATTAAAATAGTTTTGTCTGGACTTCTAAAGGTGCCTCAAAAATGAGCAAAGCTCTTATCCTTAAAATAAACATTCCAGAGACAGTTATTAATGACTTGCAGATTCTGTTGCTAATTCAAGTCCTTAAGTTAATTGCCTTATCTGTATCCTATTTACTGCAGCACAACATCTTACTTAGAAGCCCCAGGTAGCTCCCTAAAGAAGAACTTTGGAATAAATTAAGCTCCACCCCATCTCCAGTTCCACACACACTGCTCTAGATATAACACTTTTCTGCAGCTGTTATGTAGTTTTCTTAGATTTGTTTGGGGACAAACCATATTAAATTCTGAACTGGAACACTGTCTCCGTGCTTGTATTTCATATGGGTTGGTTTCAGAAAGGTCTAGAAGTGTGTATAGAGCACATGAGTAGAGTTTCCAAACAAAGCCGTATTCATTTTTAATAAAATTGTAGAACTATTTTCTACTTTCTCTCCAATATCCTGCCACACCACATGTGTCTTTAAGTGATGAATGGGAACACAAAATCATGATTGCATGACTGGATGTGTGAAAAGGTATATTTACAATATATTCAAATAGATTAACAGCAACATGAATGTGGACTGCTGTAATTCTTCCAGTATAGTCAACTTTAAAGAGCAAGGAAATAAGAAAACATTATATATGCACTTTGCCAGCTTTAGTTTATCTCAGTTTTCTTTTTGCCAATAGCCTACCGGTTTCTATTTTGAAAACTAGAAAAAAAAAAGTTAAGTGTTGCCATTTTGGTTGTACTTTTTCAGCTTTAGCTGCCTTAAGAAGTTATTGTTTATTAATGACATAAAGGAGGCAATGCATATATTAAGATGTGTCCCATTTGACAGAAATAGAGCTATCCATTCAAAATGGTAATTTGAGAACAAAGGAGACATTTTAGAGGAAAGCAGCGACAAGCTAAGTAAATGCAGCTGATGTTGCATCATACTTCAAACATTCTTCAAATTAACAGTATGTCAAGGGGCAGCTTACAGAGAGAATGCTTCTTTTAGATAAAGAACAAAACCTGGCATCTTTTCAGATCCTTCTACAATCTGGAAAAAAAAATCCTTCAACTGAAGTGGAAAAATGGGACATAAAAAAAATTTGACTATTCAAATATCCCAGTTTCTAAATGCTGCTATTTGAAAAAATGAGATTTCACCTCTCATGTATCTTGTACTGTATGTGATCGATACAGAAGAAGAGTGTAAAGCAACAGTAGTCTAATAACACTCGCATCACTAAGACAGTAACTGTTTACACATTAGAGCAATCTGCTCAGGCGGGCAGACAGAAAGGAGGAGAGAAAAGCAGAACTTTAAAGGTGAAGGGTTTCAGAGAAATGAACAGAATCCAGATAAAAACATTCCAGATATTTTATTAAAAATAGAAAATGAATTCCCAAAGTTATTCAGAAATGTTATAATAAAATAATTTTCTTCCACAGTTTACATTGTTTGGAATTGAATTGTTTTTTGCATATTGATTTAATGTGGTTATAATCGTATCACATAATTTGAACAGTCTGCTTTATTAGCTTCTTAGTTTTCTTTTGACCTGAGGATGCCCGGGGTTGGCAGAGTTCTCTACTTTTCTACAAAACAAAGGTTTGGTGTTATCAGACAACAATTAAGAGCAAAAATGTATCCATGTTTAAAATTAAATAGACTGTGCCATGAAGCATTCTTTTGATTATGGCAAAAACACAATCAAAGATTTTAGGAAAAAAATAGTTATTTTTGTCAAGAAACAGTGTTAACATCAGATGATTATCTGTGGGATGATCCAAACAAAAGTATCTTTAATAAACAGTGCCAAAAAAAGGAAATATCTTATGGTTACATAATCAATATTACATATTCAGATACATATATGCTTATTCTTATTTCATGCTATGATCATGATGGACCATTTAAAAACTGTAACCTTATTTTAGAACATGCCTTACTTTAAAAGGTGAATACAGAAATTAATTTAGGGATAGAGAAATAAAATTAAATTTCATGTTCATTAAGAGCATCAAATGTGAATGCAACACCATAATAAGAAAGCAGATTTATTTTAAGGTTCTGTTTCCAGTATTCAAAATGAGATTTTCTCATAATCCACTTCAGTGGAATAGCACTCCAGATGTTCATCTTGCAGCTGTTGAAATGTTATTCCTCACCATGAGGCCACTATAGAAGTTATGGCAGCCGTGTTACATTCACATGACCATAACTGCACAGCTTTACTACTGTCATTCAATTACATGCTGCAGAAATCAAATGACACAAATATTAATTCTCCAAAAAGATAATAAATCACGAAATGTTTCACCAACATAAATATGTATCCCAAGATGTACTCTGCTTTTTAGTAATTTATCATTTATAAATTATAATATTTGTGGGACTAAAATACATTCTACAAAATGAACTGCTTTACTGATGTTAATTTACCTCAGAGATTCAGATAATTGACTTGCTTAAGTAAAAATCTGAAGGCTGTAAGCAATTAGTCCTGATTGATCTCTTTAAACATTTTCCCATTTTTTTTACATAATTAAAAAAAATAAACCTCGGTACAGCAGAGCTGTCGAATCCCTCCAGAGCATAATTCTGATGGACACTTAGGATGGATCGGCTTACTCAACCAACCGTTTCACTTACATTTCATCAGAATGGAAATAAGAATGTGCATAAAATTATGTATTACCCAGCAATTACCCAGCTTTAAAACGCAAAGCCCTATTTTTCACTCATTAAACAAACCTAAAATGTTTGAAATGTTTGCTTATAAATTATCTGTTGTAGCCCTCAAAATGTATGTGATATTAACTCAACGTTTTATTCCACATGTTGGTATTTTAACTGCAATGTTTTAATGTTTGGACTACACGTTGCAAAGAAAAATACCAATTGCTGGATATTTGGAAAAGCCATATCCTGCCAAGGGGACTTGAAAGCCCCCTCTAGTGCACAAATGCTAACACTAAGGTGAAGGCTTGATGTTTTAAGCTTTATTGATTAAAGCTGTGTTGTTAAATGCAATCAATCAATTAATCTATCAAGCAAAACTTAAATCAATGAATCAATGTTGGATTTTGACCAGACCAAAGCAGCGTCTTTCCAGTGTTAGTCAAGAGACATTTTCTCTTTGTCTTTTCAGGATCTTCTGAAGCAGCACAGTAGAAAATGGTAGCTCACTGAAGGTGATACTCAGTACCAGAGTTTCTGGAGTTTCTGGAGGTTTCTGGAGGTGTCAAGAACCAGATAATTAGCTATTTCTCTTTCTTCTCAGAAGCAGTTAGAAATGAAGTTATAAAAGGCTGTATAAAGTGTAGATATATTTTACCTTTGCTAGATCAGCACACTTGGTTGAAATTAAGACAGATAGAGAATTCTTAGTTAACTTCTTGCATAGCAGAACTGAAGCTCGTGTTAATAAACGTTAATAAAGGAGGTATTCTACAAATCTGTTAACAGAAGCAAAGATTGTGGAAGGTGGTTTGAGTCGAAATATAAATCTACGAAATGGATTGATGGTCTTAGCAGAGCAATAAACATTAGATTGTATCAGGTCACAACATGAGGGTTTCCCTAAGATGCTTGTTTCATTGTTAGCTCGTCCGAACTAATGGTATGGTTATAATCAGGCAGAAAGAACAGAAACAAAAGTTGTTTTTTGTATCATCAAAGACATTTAGATACACTACCACTGAAGAGAAGAGGTGAAAGTCAGGTTAAAGTTTTCCAATTAAAGTATACTGTAGGCAATTTAGTTTTGGCTGCAGAGATAAGCAGCAGATTTCTGCAATAAAGAACTTGTTAAGACTTCACATGTGCACTATTTGTCTCACCACCATTATAACAAACAGGCTGCCAGAGACCATCGAAGCTGTTAAAAAAAAATGCAGATGTGAGAATAAAACAAGGAACAACTGCAACCAATACAGAATATTGAATACTTTTTTTTCCAGGGAAGTTTTCAATTTCCTGATGGCATGGGTATACTGTATACAGGTCATGTGCCAAAACGCTTTGAGTGGCATCACAGACATCGTGTGCATGCTGCTTCAGCCACCACAGCTTATTAAATGCAGTTCTGTCGGCTGATTCCACTTTGAACTCTCTTGGAAGTCACTAGGGAAAGGGAAAACAAATCATGGCAGGAGCACCAAGATGAACATTACCTCAGCTGCTTCTTCCCTCTGCAGAGGAATGGATGAGATAACTCCCTTCAGGAGATGGCTTTATCACAAGCAATGTAAATCAATTCACTCGTTCCAAACACTTGGCATTCCTCAAGTGTCTCAAACAATTGAATTATTTGATCCTAGGGGACGACTAAAATGAAGCTCTGCATTGTATAGACTGCATACTTGTCTTTACAGAACTTCTGTACTGATTATCTACTGAAAGAAAACAACAAAGGGACGTAAAATTGGAAGGATACTTGATGTGAAATAAGTTACAATGAAAGGAGATGGGCATGTTAAAACAGTAATAGCCAACACTCCTGGGCAAACTTGCTAATTCATTAAAGTTTCAAATACAGTAGATATTCCAAAAGACGTTCAACATCTGTGTTGTGCCTTTAAAAGCTCTGTTTTAGTAGATTAAAAAAAAACTGTGCTAATCGAAAAGATGGAAAGTAGCTTATTCTGCACATAGCTTAGAAAATACCGAGATATTGTTCTTGCAGATTCACATGGGACCGTGGTGCAAAATTGATCAAGACCATCTGACCTGCCCCAGCTGCCTACTTGTTATCTTAGCAGGAAGAGGCCATGCTGTGCAATCAGGAGAAATGTACCGCATTGCAGGATAAACGGGGTGGCGGGATGGCTTGTTTTGGTACAGGTCATCCTATAAGGCGACGTTTATCAATAGTGATAGTGCATTTTTTTTTCTCACCACAAAATTCCTGTAACAGAAATGACTGCATTGTTTTCTGGTGCAAATGGGTAGGTCTAAACAGACCGTCTTCTGCTACAAGATGTGCAGCGAACATCGCGTTCTTTCTTATCTGTCAAAAACGTACGAGCTTCTCCCCCAAAAAACCCGCATGGTTTCACTGCCCTGGAGCAAAGACAAAAAAATGTAATAAGCATATTTTAAAATTTAAAAGGAGTTTCCACTCCACCCGAAAGTGTCTGTAAAACTGTGTTTTACTCCACTAATGCCATTTTAATTTTAATTGCATTTTAATTGCATTTGTATCATTTTCACGGTGTCATATTATTACATGCATACATAATGGAAATTCCTATTCAAAACTTACTTTTCATCCCAAAACCTTGTCAGTGCCCTTTAATGAATACAATTAACTAATATATACCATTCCTCAAATAAGTAAGCTGTCTCAAATGTTTGAACTTAATGTCCAATAGAGAATTTAAGAGTATTTCTGGAGAACGTGTTAAATTTACTCATGTATTTAATTCTCTGCCTTTAAATATATTATATTGCCAACAAGAGGACATCTGTATATTTACAGAAAGCTAATCTTCTGCACAGAGGGCAAAATTAATACACATTTGACATTTGTCCAGCATCATATTAAAAACCACAACCTTAAAACATGTTTAAAGAGAAACAGTGTAACTGAATCTCCAATTTGCAGTCATTTCAGGCGTCATAAAATGGGAACTAAATGAATACGTGCAGAACAGTGATAAAGGAAGCAGAACTGGGAAGCACTGGTCTATCCTCTCACACCTTGTGTTTTTTTAGAATCCAGTTTGAGTTGTTTAATAAAAAATGTTTCTGAGGAGCAAATTTAGAGTACGATGATCCCATCAGCTAGTATTACAACTTGGGCTATGATTGAATAGAGCACAATCAATGTTCTAAGTGAAGGATTCCTTGAACATTAAATGTTGTGAACTACTTATTTTTGCCATTACTAAATTATTGAGGAAAATTTAGAGTGAAGTCTTTGGATCTTTCTGGTCTTTCTCTACCTCATTCTGTTTTTTAAAATGTACAGTCATAAAAATCACAGTCAGGACAGCTCAGAAAATTACTGAGTCTATTATTGTTCAGTCTGTAGGTGTTTCAGCACATCTTAGTCAGTCACAATTATGTCAGTCACCAGGCAACATTTTTTTGTTGTTCAATTTAAAGTCCAGCAGGTTTTCAATCCAAAAGTTGTCTTTAGGATCTATCTACAAGCTAACGCACAAAAACACAAACATTCTTATTAAGTTGTTGGTTTTCTGATTTTATTTTTTTAAACATTTAAAATTTCATACATATCAGTTTGTTAAAATTGGCTCTTAAAGATGATCAAGGTTGGGAAGCACATGCTGATATTAATACAAAATAAATGTTTCCATTAAAAAATTGGTAATTGGTAAAAGGGGTAATTAATATATTGTTCAAAATAATGACTATTCTTTCAAATATATAATGTATTTACTCCACAAAAAAAAACAAGGATTTGGTCATATACGGGACTTATGATATATTATTTAATACGAATGAATAATGACACCTGTATGTATTAAATGTCATTACGGTTAGTGCAGTGTCTACTTCTGTGGAAATATTTCTTTTGAGCTCTTCTCATGAAAGAATCACAACCTCAAAAACCATTACATCAGTTAATTTAGTCAGTATTTTATCTAGTAGAAACAATTCTCATCATTTTTATATCTCCCTTCTGGCATGCTTGAATGATAGCAATTAATTACCTTTACTGATTATGTTTCACAGCTGTGAGAGTAATACAACAAAACAAGGCATATCACTAAAATTAGCAGGACTTTCAATCAACAAACCAATTTGCTGGCACAAACAGGGGTGGGCATCAGAAGTTATCAGCAGCAGTGCCTTCGGGATTTCCTGTGAGAAATGTTCCTGTGGGATACTATAACAGGAGTCCATTTTAATTACTACCACTGACAATATATTTCAGATTTCAAAGATCTGAACAAACACAGACTCATTCACTTTACAGTATCCTTTAAACAATTTTTCACAATCTCCATCAAAAACAGGTCTGAAATATGTGGTATATATGCTAACTTTTATGATAGATTACATAATACTGTTATAAAGGTTTTTACCTGCCCATGGTCATTTGAAGTTTTTAAGACATCTCTGCAACCAAACAACAAATACTGTAACACATTCTCAATAATAATAATAATAATAATAATAATAATAATAATAATAATAATAATAATAATAATTGCTTACACTTATATTGCGCTTTTCTGGACACTCCACTCAAAGCGCTTCACAGTAATGGGACTCCCCTGCACCACCACCAATTTCTATGTTATCATAAATAAAGTCATAGTGAAACAAACAATTTTAGTCATGTGAACCAGTAAATATTTTGTTACGAATCAAACTACAGTTGAAGGGAGAGAAAACGATTGTATAGACCTGAGTAGTGCTAATGCTCCTTTAATTTCTTTAATAACTTCACAGTTGCATATGGGATTTTCCTTTAAAACAGCTCATTGGGAAAAAAAAAACTGTTCAGATACAACAGATTTACACCCAGAAATACAGAAGTGTCCACCCTGAAGAACAACAAAAGAAAGAGAATGTTGCTTATTTGACCCAACAAGAGGCCCATTTTGTTAGATCTTGATATCCAAACTAATTATAACAACAGGAGAAAATAACAAGGTGCATGAACTGCAAGTTTCCACTCCTTTTGTATGTAACAGAATCCTAAGTTAGTTGAAAACAAATGGAGAAACTGAAACTGGTGGTGATTGGAGGTGATTTTCTTTTCTTTTCGGGGGGGGGAGCTCTATGAGCATGAACAGATGTGACTGTGCCAAAAAGGTAACATTGCCAAAAGCGTGCTTCTCGTGTTGCAAAGGAAAAAAAGCAAATCCAGGCAGTGATCACCTTGACCCCTGCAGAGCACCTAACTCTCTCCTTTACTAGGCTGCCAATGATTCCCTCTTCTTCCCTTTTAATCTCGGAGATTACCGAGAAAGTGGGAGACAAGGCTTCAGCTTTCATGAAAGACTTGAAACAGGCAGGACTTGAGCTGGGTAGTATAGGAAGAGATAGGAAGATGTCACTGTGCCCTGTAATTTAACTTTCTCGGATGCCTCCAAAAATATTCCCAGTCCTTGAGCTGAATGATAATTGCCTTCTGGCACGCAAAATACCAGAACGCACCTTTAGTTCATTGTTCATTAAAATGATCTCCTGTTGAGGTAGAACTGAATTACAATGACAACAGAACATGGACATTTATGAATGGTTACAAATAACTGCTCCCACTAAAAAAGTCCGATGTTGCAGCATGAACAAGATGGTCCTTACTATCAGAGCCACATCACAAAACATGTCAAGGGAAAGTAGTTGAATGAATTATCTTTGAGAAATAAGGAATTAGATACAAAGCCCTGTGACCATACATATTTCATTCAGGGTCAGTATAATCTTGAGTGAATGAATGCGAATTTAACTGGGTATTAAAGTATACAACATTTTTCTTCAAGCTATCATCAACGTTACGGATTTGAAAAATAAATAAACAGGCCTCTAACTGGAACTGGAAAAGAACCCTATATCTTTCACCTCTTTTAAATCTGGGCTGCGTCTTTAATGCTGCCCCACAAAGATCACAGCACTGCGTGGTGAAAAGTGTCGTTTTGTTGTGTGAGACCTAATGCATGTATGAAAGGAACATTCCCAACCGATTTCAGTAAAGAAACAAATGGAATTAAAAGTATAAAGTGTGGAATTTTAAGAGTCTCTGTTGTATCAATTAGGTAAAAACTGGGAAGACAACAGTGACTGTATTAATGATGTGCAGACAGAAAAGTAATAGCGGGTTCAGCTCCAGATGCACACAGCTGTTAAAAGTTGAAATTCTTAATCCTGGCATAGCTGCTAAGTAGCAAGCAGGCTGCACTTTGAAAGAGACCATTCCAAAATCATGGAATTTGAACTACTACTTTGAACTGTTTTTGGCACATTTTAAGACAGATCTTGCATTGAGAAAAACAAAGACACCTACGTGTGGAGGCGGTGGGGGTGGTGGGAGGAATAGGAGATTTCGGTGTGGACAACAGAAAAAAGAGCCTTGATGCTTTGTTCAATAAATTGCAATGAGTTATGTATTTTTTGCACAGTGTATCCACATTTAAAGCCTTATGGAAAAGCATTTCTGTTGCAAAAAAAAAACACCTTAAGCCATCTACTATTGCTATATTAAACTACATAGCCTCTGATAGCTTCATGACACCTTGCTCTGAATGGATCTTTGTGATCCATTGCCTGCTAAAAGTTAGTTGTATCATCATCATCTTTGAGGATAGGATAACAATAGAGCAAAACATGCTTGGAAGCATAATAGTCTGTATAATTAATCATTTAATTGCAATTGCAATCACAATAATAAGGAATTAGTGTTTTTTTATAAACTGATAAATCAGTGGCAGGAAGGACTTTCAAATGTTCAGGAGGAATTGTATAACACATCAGAACCTTACGTATTGCCTTCTACTGGAAATACAGTTTTTGTCCAGCTAAATGAATACCAGGCATATACTGGATTCTAAATGTCTGCAGTGTCCTGGGCAGTAAAACTCATCTGGCCAAAGATTTTGTGGAAATGGATGACAGTACAATCTAAACCCAAGTTTTTCCTGCTTTCACCAAAAGTATTTAATCAGTGCCATGTTGTATAGAACAGCTGTCCAAAGCTTTATGCGCTACATGCCATCTCTGACAATTATAACAGAAGATATGCAGATTATGATGATATCTGAAAAACCTCAGTTGAAATGCTACAGAGGTTGGATTTTCTTATGGGCATCAAATTACTAATAATTGCTTTGCTTCCATACAAAACTCATCATAAAGGATCTCAAAATAATTCCAGTACAGGTGGGGGCCCACTTCATTTACCCCTGAGTGACGCTCAGCAGCCCCACTGCACAGCAGTTCAGGTGGACAAAGGACAAGGTAGTTCAACAACAGAATGAAACAGGAACTTTAGAGAGGCCAGGTTGTGCTGGCCCAAAGTACGATTTACCCAGGACATTGGAGTTTACCACCTTATGAACACTGCTGTGGAATCTTTAGTGAACAAGCAGACTGAACTCTGGGTTAATGTCTCTGGGGCACTGGTATTGCATTTCTGGACCATATTGAGGAGTGCCACCTACTGGTCTACTAACACTACTTACATAGGCAACCTGGAGTTCCTCCTAAGTGTTTTCCTATTTAGCTTCTGAGAACATGATCAGACTTCAAGGCATTGACATTCTTGCCAAAAACACCACAGACACCTCCTTCTCCCCATCGGTCCAGGGCTTATACTCACTGAATGATCTCCTTCTCTAGGGCTTCCTGCCTGCTGGAAATACTCTGATAATGACAAGGTGTAATCTTACATTCTCCTACATGCAATTCAGCAGCTAAAAGTCTCACAATTCTTTCTTTTGCGTAGGTTCAGTCTTGGGTTTTCTGTGAGTTTCTTTCAAAACCGCGAAACTAAAATGTCAAAAAGGTTTTTCCACTTGGCCTGCTCCTGTTCTGATCTATATAATGCAAATGGGAGAATATTCTATCAACATATTGATGCACTTGCCTGTATATGCCTATTTTGCACATGGTTGCACATGATTGAGAATACCATCATGTTCCAAAATGTTGCTTCTTATCAACACATACATAAATAACGCTTCAAGAAAACAAGTAACTAGGGAGGTGTACTGTACACAGTCTGTATGAAACATTAAGGTGGCCCCCAGTGTAACTGTTATTGTGGGTCTACATGCAGTTGCAGTTACCCCTGATGTCAGCTCTGGGTGTATAATTACAGCTATTAAATAATATTGCTGGAAGATAAGGCCCTAGGCCCTTTCTTCTAGTGAACTAAAAATTGTACACAGATTTTACCACATCACAGTTTTCTCACAGCACAATATTAGGACACGTCTCCACACACGCCACAGAATTATCAATTAGTGTTTAATAGCTAGTATTTTGCATTCGTTTTAAAAGTAATGATATTCCCTTTAATCAAAAATACCACAAAACGCACAGATAAAGTAACATTTTATTTATTAATATGTTAAGATTTTTATCTCATGAGCATCTTGAGGGACATGATCTGACAATGCTGGAATGTTCTGCCTGTTTTTATCTGAGGTCACGCTCACTGGAAATAAAGTCTGCGTTAATAGGTCTTTGGTTCCTGTACGTACTACCAGTTTATAGAAGCTCTTGCCGCTGACAGCCAGTGTGCCGACTCTCTTATGATTAACAATGTTAATTTAAAAATGTCTAGGCTGTAGCAGCTGAAGTGCTCAAAAACAGAGACTCCCAAGATTCCTATTTTAGGAGAAAAGCACAACTGCTATGGATTAAAAGGTATTATCGGCAAAATAGAGGTGGTACAATGCTGCTCTGAAGCCAGAGAAGATGCCAGAATAATGTAATTGTACTTTTTTTCCTAAATAGTGAATATGACGTTACTCGGTGGTTACTGAGAAACACTGCCTTCGAATGTGATAACCACCTGCTATACTGATCTCTTCTTAATCCTACTCTATTGAATACAAGATTCCAGGCAGAGTAAGGTCCACACGTTGCCAGGTGATCAGCGAATTTAAGAACCTCAGATTAATTTTCCTTCAAAGATCCGTCAGTTCCCTGCAGAAAGTCAATGTGAATTTTTAAAATTTTTAAAAGAGGGCTAAACGTGGTGTTGTTGATATTTTGGGGGGTAAAGGCAGACAAAAATAGACCCACTGCCTAGTTAAATGACAGAGGATAAAGAGTGGTAACAGGCAGTTTGAATATCTTCGATTCATGTAACATTTATGCACAATTTCAGTCATATACTCTGTTTTATTAATGTGTCATGTTTATTTGAGTGAGCAAATAATCAAGACACTCTAGAACTGTTCTAGCTAAAGCTAAAGACACCAAATGAAAGGTTTCAGTAAAGAAATACAAACATATTAACTCCAAAGTAGTAGTTGTTAACATACAGCTTTATGCAAGAAAGATTTGTTTACTCACAACACTGAACAATTAGAAATGGTTTGAAAGCTCTACTCACTTTACTAAATTGTCAGCTTTTCACTTGATTCCAGTGACGTTTTTAGTTTTTAAAGGGCAAACCCCACAGGTTGTTGGCCTTTTATCAAGGCAACTGCCTTTGTCTTTCCCTAAAAAAATGTGAACCTGTAAAAGAAGAAGCTTGCAACTGAGCATTTTCGCTCTCTCCTACTGACATTTACTTCTTATTCTTTTTCCTTATGCTCACATACATACAGCATTTGATAAGATGGTGTTTGTAATAAAATATTCTTTCAGAAGTTCATTAAAATAAATTATCTTTAATTGCTTAGCTATTGCAGAAGGGCATTAATATAAAATCCGGTCCTTCTGTGATTTGTTGACAGTGTGCTTTTGCTTCATTTAACACAGTAATGAAATAGATTCAGCTTTAGAAATCTACAGTGTTCGTAACTAAATCTTTTTGTAGAGAGGTATTAAAATATATAATTGCGAGAATGACGGATTTATAATGAATCCTGTAAAGAGATTCGGGACATTTGCATTACGACACCGACTCAGCCACCAGCAATCCGTTAGGTTTTCAGTTCACAAATACTTGACAGGAAAAACTTCTAAATGAGCAAGTAAATCCTGACAGAATAGGTCGTTCAGACAGATTTCAGTCACGGGTAAGCTCACTGAGACAGCTACGCCATCTAGTGGCTAACCTGTACAGGAGGTGACAGCAACCTTTTTTTTACAATAATAACATACTGTAAATTTACATTTTCAGAAGTTTAGTGCTATTGACTCCTACTATACTGTTGTAATATCCGACCACTTAAGAATATCAGATATAGTACTCTATAGAGTCCTACAAAATAATTAACACAATTACGAACACTTAACACTCCTTAGAAAAAAATCAGAATTTGTAAACCTTAAACCAAGAAGAAAATTGGCATTTCAACATATTCGACAACATACGAAGAAACATAAGACAGATATCCAAATCTATTTTTAAGAGACATGAAACAGACACTTGCGTAGCGAGAATTATTCTCAATTTAAAGTCTGAAATATCTATGAAATTGAAATAACTACGGTATCTCAGGCGAAGTTTATTGTCATGCTTTTCAAGGAATTTAAAAGATAATAAACAATTCATCTGATAATACTATGAGCTACACGTACGTGACTTCATATCAGAATCGTTATTTTCACCGTTGTATAAAAGTATAGTTAAGTGCATTTGAAATAAAAAAAACTCACCCCTTCTGTCTTTCAGAACTTCGAAGCCAGCCTGAGGGTTTTACATTTATAACTCATTTTCCCAAAATGCAGTTCATGTTTGCTAAAGGTCAAAGTTGAGGGGTCAGCTGGGAGGCAAACATGGCAGCGTTCAGCGCGACAAGGTGTTTGTTCGGTTATTCAGCTCAGCTCCGAAATGCTGCACGGACGCCCCACACTTTGCTCAGATGTGCAAGAAAGATGCTGTGCAGTGAGTCGTCAGCTGGTAACAGTGAGTTTATCTTTATGGTTTTCCCCGATGCATTTGCCGTATTGACCTTGCTCTCTAAGTGGTGTCGATGTTGGTGTTGCTAATAGTAGCACCTTATTTATTTCTTAATTCATTATATTTTTAAACAATTCTTAACGTTCTATCTCATTTTTTTGCAGTCATATTTTTCTTTTATTCACTGTTGAAGCTTTTATGTTCTCCCAAAGAAACCCGTACTCAAAAGTAGCTTTCTGCGTACGAAATTTACTATATTTCAAAATATGTCGATGATGTTTTCAGTGATTTCTCTGTTTAGGTTCACCAGATGTCAGGAAACCCGAGTTCTCAGATGAAGTTATTCAGGATATTTTGACTAAAATCACCGGGATGGATCTGCACAAAATATTTCGACCCATTAAACAGGAACTAAAGCCACCAATATATAAACTCATGACAGATAAACAACTTGAAGAGGTAAAGTTCCTTAAATGCTAAATTATATTTTACTTATTATCAGTGATTGTATTATAAGCATGTCGGAAATGATTAGATAATTTGTATTTAACTGTACACGTTAGGTTTTTATTCCTATTTTGAATATAGAAGGCACCACTATGACCAGTTCCATACTTATTCTTATTTCAAATGATTTAACTGACTGCGTGGCTGCCCTTTAAAATGCTGTAGTGACAGGAATCCAAAAAATGTTGCTTTAGATAAAGTACACATCAATTAAGCCTTTTCCTGAGAATGTTTCAGTATGAAGGGTGGAGACATTATGTCTCAAATATTCCCAGAGGCAAGTTTAAATTTTAACAGGACTGAGTGTCAAATTAAAATCATAACATACGGCTAATAAGATCCTAACTTGACTCACTCTCTCGCTTACATTAATCTACTAACATTTCAAATGTTTTATAGGCTACACAACAAGCTGTAGAAGTAGCCAAAAAGAATTTGAAAATGCCCCCTGTGCTGCCAGAAAGAAAGCCAATTAACAGTGTTTTGGCAGAAGACAAGGTTTTGGAGGGACTGGAAACTGCCAAATATGTGTTTACTGATATCACTTACAACATTCCACACAGAGTGAGTATCTTCATCAAGAAAATGACCCTGCAACTTACAACTGGCAACCCACTGAAGGTCTTCATGCATGAGCCTGGCCAGTACCTGGATGGGAGACCTCCTGGGAAAGCTAAGGTTGCTGCTGGAAGAGGTTTTAGTGGGGGCAGTAGGGGGCGCTCACCCTGCGGTCTGTGTGAGTCCTAATGCCCCAGTATGGTGACGGGGACACTTTACTGTAAAAAGGTGCCGTTCTTCAGATGAGACATAAAACAGAGGTCTTGGCTCTTTGTGGTCATTAAAAATCCCAGGGCACTTCTTGAAAGGAGTAGGGGTGTTACCCTGGTGTCCTGGCCAGATTTTCACCAGGCCTTTACCAGTCATGGCCTCCTAATAATCCCCATCTATGAATTGGCCTCATAACTCTTTTCTCCTCCTCACTGATAGCTGATGTATGGTGATCTTACTGTTGCACTCCCCATTACCTGTAAAGCGCTTTGAGTGGAGTGTCCAGAAAAGTGCTAATGTATATAAGTGTAAGGAACTATTATTATTAAGAGAAAAATGTTACTGTGATTTTGGTGTAGAGATCAACAGTTTCATCTTGACCAGAATGTAAACGTGTAAGAATCCCTTGTGAAGTAATAACTGCATTCAAAACCTCCCGAATCATACTTTAAAATGCAGCTGCATTAAACTGAGTAAACAACTCAGGAGTTGGGTAGCTGAGCTCAGCTCAGTTAGCTGTCAGGATCTGCTTTTAATAAAAGGTTGGTGTGGTTTTTGTTTTTCCTACAGGAACGCTTTATAGTTATCAGAGAGCCAGATGGTACTTTACGCAAAGCTTCTTGGGAAGAACGGGATCGGATGCTGCAAATATACTTTCCTAAGGAGGGCAGGAGAATAACTCCACCACCGGTCTTTAAAGAAGAAAATCTCAAGGTGAAATGAAACAAAACTTGGCTATAGTACTGTGGCTTGGCCCGCACTCTCTCTGTATATAAACTGGGGTAATTATAAGCTTGCCTTGTCATGTATCTAAAGTCAAAAGGATATGTACCACTAAAGCCTTAGTTAAACCTGGACTGCATCTGGTGTTCACTAAAATAATTCAAATGTAAAAAATAGATTCCGTAAGAGTAAGGAACCTACTATTGGAGACTGCAGGTCTGCAAGCATTGGCTACCTTAGTCCCTGCTTCAACTGTTATGTGTGTTTCACTGTCCAGGTTGTGTTTCTCCAAGATCGCCACCAGGATATACTGGACCTCTGTCTTGTCCAGTTTGAGCCAGATTCCTCCGAGTACAGAAGGGTAAGTACAACTACATTCTTTTATTTGGAAAATTATGAGCGTAGTTGGGGACATTGCAATACAACTTTTCTCTTTATAATTTGAAGAATGTTTTTTTTTTCAGCTGAGCAGAATGCATGTTGTTCATGACAAACAGGGCCCTTGTGATGTGATTTTTATCCTGATTAGACATGGGCAATTCAGTCACACTGTCAGTAAACATCAGAAAGCTAATTAAATATATTTTTCTAAAAACAGGTTCACCAGCTAACCTACGATGACATTGAAAAACAAGGAAAATATGACCTCCTGCGTTCGACAAGACACTTTGGCGGAATGGTTTGGTATTTGGTCAATGCAAAACGAGTGGATGGCCTACTGATTGATATGATCCAGAGAGACCTGTAAGTCACCTTTTGGGGGAGATTGCTGGTGTTCTCAGCTAAATACTAAGATCTAACTTAGATCGAGATGAGAATGTTGAATGTAAATATTTTTTTTCAACAGGATCCAAGATGCTGCAAGTCTTGTTCATTTGTATCATATAGTGCATCCACATTGTCAGTCTGCTGCTGAGGCCACAGAAAAGCAAGTGGATGGGATTGGCCTGGTTAAGGTAAGCACTTCACATTCTTGTAGTGTAATTAATGCACATGATGGTAAAATCTAGGGATTTCTGTAACTCAAAGGCAAGCATATACAAATATGCTTGTGAAATGCTGTGCTTTGGTTCTCTTTTCAGTTTGTAAGTTCTAAACATTAAGAATTAGGGAAGACAGGGGAAATACATGTTCTCTTTGGAAAGAAAAATGTGTAGGAAAGATAATGTACCGACTACATTTGTGAAAAGAAAGGGTTAAAGATATGCCGTCTCCTGTTCTCAGTTATGGCTCGGATAGCTAATGTTTCTGTTTTGCCACAGATGTCAACTAAAGGCCACTTCAGAACCAATTTTCAACAAGTTTGACCTCAAAGAGAAGAGGCCACCTGGAGAACTATGCATCTCCAGAGTGAATCATTACACAATGACAGGCTGCTTCCCTTAATCTGGGTGAAGCACATGAATTGACAAACTTGGTGCATCAGTTTAGTCATGGATGATATTGAGGTCATATTGTACTTTTGCATAATTCGTTTAACACATTGATTGCCATCTGAGTTCTTAATATATGGTTTAGCAAAGCGGGACTTTTCTGCATGCCAATTTTAACTAACCTAGAATGTAAAGACTGCAGAACACTTTTATGAACTTTAAATTTTAAACCCAACAACCTTCATTATTTTCATTTATATTGAACACCTTGTTTGCATTATTGTATTCTAGAGCTCAATATTAAGAAATCTAAAAATACAATTCATCACAAGCTGATGGAGCACATTAAAAATCTCTAAAGACCAGTGACTTGTTGACCTTTACAACAACTTTAACCATTTTTCTATCCGTAAGAATCCATTATATGCATGCATTGCTGAAGTGTTTTAGTACAGATGTAGTAAATTACAAGATGGAAGTTTTAATCTATACCACATTTAAGGATGCAAATTCACTTTTAATTCCTAAAGAACTGTAAACATTTTACTAAAGATTTAAACTCCTAAAAATGATTTTTGCTCCTTGGTCACTGTGCACATTTTAACTCCATGCCTCAGAAATGATCCCATCTTCTTGAATGAGCACTTTAGATTGGGGGGTTGAGAATTAAAAAGGGGTAGAGCATTTGGAGCAGGACAGCCTGTGGGGAGACTGCATTCTTGAAAGAGGTATCTTTAAATTTCTTAATAGTGAAAACATGTGAGTTCCAGAAAGCAGTAAAGCAAAAAAAAAAAAAGACCCAGGACATCCATGGATCCAAGGAAATGGTCTGATCTAGTGTAGTGTTTTATGATCTATGCCTTAGTAGTCTTTAAAGAGAAAAATAGGGATATGTGCAATATTAGATGATTGTTTTTTTTTCCCCACTGTGTGTGGCTAAAATCTGAAATATTTTCTTTTCAAGATCTTTGCCAAGACAGAATCCCAGAAGTCTGGATACATTGAACTTGCTCTACAAGCCTATCAGGAGACAACTCTTGAAAGCTCTGCTTAATCTGGCCTGACTTCAGCTCTTCCTAATATGAAAAAGACTGCTGCTTTAACAGATTTCCATTACATATTCTTTGTTATGATAAATTACTTTTGAGTCAGAAGGTTGTTAATAAATAAAGATTTTTTTTCTGGTTTAACAGATCCCCTTTAGATATGCAGCAAGTATTACCAGTATCTTTTAGTGCACATATAGGCTACCAGTCTAAAATCTGTTAAGGGGTTGTGTCTCTAAGGTTATCTTTTAATTTTTGATTAAATAAAGGATAACATTAAGATTACATTTTTGTACATACTGTACTGTACATTCATATCCAGGAATGATCTTACATGAAGGAAAAGGCAAGTCTTAAGAACGTGATTTATTGGGCATTTTAGTAGGCATACATGTATCAGCATATCAGATAGCGATTCCCATATTTTAAAGATACAAAATTCAGAAACACCAGACATTTTTGTTGCTACACCACCTCATTAAAACTCAATAGTGGTGGTGCTACAATCTACTTATTACTTTTTTCACGGGTAAAGTAAAAATATAAAGGGTTTGGTCTCTTAAATAGTAGTGCTATCTCAAGGATTAATCATCCAAGAAATCATCATCCAGGTTTACGTCTGTGGTGTCAATATCATCGAGGTCCAGATTATCCAAATCATCCTCAAGCTCCTGCAAAGTCTAAGAGAACAAAATGATAACCCTTTGTAAAGTACAGAAATTAAGATTTACTTCTAACAATCAAAATGCCTATATACAATATACATAATTTTAAGATACCTGAGCTATGATAAGGAATACTTAAAAGATACTTAAATACAGCCAAGACACCAGTTTAACCTTTAATCCAAACATGATTTTATCCAACAATTACAAAACCACAGTGACAGAAATATACACAGCATGAGAACATTTTCAAGGTTTGAAAATCAATATGCAGGACTCTCCTGAAATTCCATTTACCTTGTGCTTGTGATCCTGCTGTTACAAATACAAAAATTAAAACAGGCCAAACATGTTGGCAAGTGAAAATCAAAACAGCTGTAAAAAATATTTTTTTATACTAATAAGAGTTAAGTTGATAAAAAGCAAAGTTATTGTTTCCTATACCAGAGTTATTTTCTTTTCAGCTGTTTCTATATAAACAATGCTTCAAACAAAAAGGCTGCTCTAAGGCAGACCGTTGAGGAATTGGTGAAACCTTACTAAAGCTAAAACTTTATCCTCTCTTGTTAAGGATTTTTAAAATAAGTGCAAAGTCAACTGTAACCCAAACTGGGTACCTTTACAAACACCTTACCTTTTCTTTGTCTGCTTTTGTTGGCAAGGGGTCAGGAGCTGAGGCCTGAGGTGATGAAGGTCCAGGTGCAAGCTCTGTTTCTGGTATTTCCTCTTGAAGAACAGACTCCTTCACATAGACCAATCACATTCAGCATTTTTTAAGATACAAATTTCATTACCATCAAGGTTGTAAACAAATCCTTAACAAGAGCTTTGCAATATGTTTAACCACATTTCCAAATGTAATAAAATTATATACATGCATTGCTGAAGTGTTTAAGTACAGATTCTATAAATCTATTACATATTCTAGAAATCCCAGTTAACTCTTAATCCATTAGGTTTAAAGAATTAAACTCCTAAAGACCTACAAAGAATGGTTTAAATTGAAGTGTGGAAGTTGGGCCCATCTACAGTAGCTGTTTAGGTAGTAGCTCATTGATTCAAGGATCTCTTCATGCTGTTTGTTGAAGGACACCAGGGTATCTACTTCAACAACACGACTGGGCAGCTTGTTCCACACTCGCACAACCTTTTGGATAAAAAAAGCACTTTCTGCTCTTAGTTTTAAATGCCCTTTTCTGTTCTCTGATTCGGGTTTCATCCTTCACTGAAAACAGATAGTATTTCTTTAGCATACTTTGATTCTATCACAGTCAAAGTGACAAAGACAGGCTGTGATTTCCATCCAATTCTAAACTATCGATCCTTTTTTTTTTACCTAATGAAGTTTCCAATCGCTAATGCCAACTCTTACCTGTAAAACTGCTGTTCCCTTGGGTTGATAACCCTTGGCTTCTTCTAACACATTTCTTTCTTCATTCAGCTAGAATAGCACAAAAAAAATTAGGACTCAGCTTGGAACATTTCTTTTTTAAAAAAAATAGGGCAATAAGAAAGATTTACAGTGACAAGTGGGTATTCTGCAGCCGGTCTCATTCGGCCAAGGCTGGTCTCTTTAAGGTACTGCTCTGCCAAAAAGGCCTCTTTCAGTCCTGGAAAGAGGTTCTCATATTCTGTTGGATCTGCCAAGGACTCTGCAGCTTTCTGGTTCACTTTGGAAAGGCTCTCCCGCCATAATTTCACCACCCTGGAAATAAATAAATACAATTGTAATAAAGACTTACTCCATTACCAGCAATTCATCTATTTTTTTTATTTATCGGCAAACACAGGTTATGTCACACACCTGGACACCTGGCTTGGGAGGTAAGTACGAGCCAGGAAAGCGGCTTCGGGAAGGCGTCCCGTCCGGATTAGGAGCTCCAGACAATGATCAAGTCTTAAGAGGAAAAAATAGTTATAACCATGCGATATCATCCAATAAAGCTGATCCACTGACATTAAGATGTGCTTCAATTAATGATACAATACACTATATTAATCTCCAAGGGGCAAAGTCAGTTACTTACACAGCTCACAGACATACAGTAGAGAAAAACACTGCACAGACACGAGATGTTATTTCAGAACAGACATAACTTATTATGTTGGCACAACTGATCACACCATGCAGTTCACAAGGGACAGTACAAGAAGAAAGAAAACCAAGTCTTAGAATGCCTTGGAACTATTCAGTATATAGATGGCTACAGACAAAGGATCTCTTAAAACTATTTGTGGTGCATAAGGGAGCTAAAAACTACACTAAATAGGCTTAACCACAATATCTAATAAGTACCTAAATCATTAAAGGGATCCTCAATTTATAGAATCAAGAACATTGTGTGTAGTGACTAATAAGTCCAGAAAGCCTATTTTGTTCTCAAATAAATAGCATCAAAACCAGAGACTAATTTCCAGTACACATTCTCCTGCTAATGGGCAGTTTCAGGGATGTAGATTCAGGTATTATACTCACTTTCCCTGTAGGAAGTACGTCATGAAGGCAACGTTGTTTTTGCCATCCTTCTCAGCCCCCTCGGCAAGTTTATTGACCATGGTAGCATTGCCAGAGGCAGTGGCCAACAGTAAGAGGCCACCGTAATCCTGGGCATGGTGAAGGCACTCCTGGGCAAGTCCAAATTGGCACTTGCTGATGGCGAGCTCTGCGAGCTGCTTCCACTTCTGCTCCGACTTAAGACAAGTTGGACAGCATTTTAGATGGTGTTTACAAATTTGAGTTTGTATAAAAATACAATTGCAACTTAACAATGCATAAGATAAAAAAAGTCTAAAAATATATCATTTTAAATGTCAAAATATATTCCTAATAGTTGTAGTTAATTACAATTATAATTTGGAAATTATATTGTAAACAGAAAGTAGATTATATCAAAAATATGCTAAATTAGTTGATCGCTCTACAATTAAAAGGTCTGTACAAACATACGCTTAGATTATCACAGGATTTAACAATCATTTTTAGTGTTTCACCTCTGCTTCTACTGCTAGCTGATATGCAATCTTCAGCTCTCCGAGCTGCAATGCCAGTTCAAATCGATGCTCAGGATCAGATGAGACAGCCAGGGCTTGTTGTTTGAACCCCTGTGAAGCAAATATATGATTTTAAAGCCTATTAGGAAACAGGGTTAGGATGTTCTATTTTCAGAACAGTGCTGGGAAGGAGACAGACTTAATACTTTATATTTTAATTAAAAGGATTACAATTCCAAAGCGATAATAACATCCCTTCATATGTTTAAGGTACACATACGTATAAAACATACATAATACTTATGACATTTATGGCATCAACACCTCACCTGTTTTTCTAAGAAATGTGCCACTCTGGTTCTCTGTTCTTTTGGAATTGTGGGCAGAACCTTATCTGCCATGCCAAAGTCCCTCCTCATGACTGCAGTCTGATACTCCAGCACAGAAACAAGTAGGGAATAGCTGACAATGTTCAGCTCCTTATCGCCAAGGTATAACCGGTTATCCTTGGGGATGTATCCCAAGAGATACATTGTTCTACAACGGAATTATAGTCAGTTAGTGTTTGTCTATGTTTCAACATCATTTCCTGAACAATAAAAACTGACTAGGGTGGGCATTTGTGCTAAACAGTTATAGTAAAAAAAATCCTAAAAATTATAACTGATCCCAAGATCATAAGAAAGGTTAAGAACAGAACATAAAACATACAATAGGTATGCTGAAAAGACAAGAGAGAAAACACGTTTCGGCTGTGAAGCCTTCTTCAGGTGATCCATGAAATCCATCAATGAGTTTATTGAAGGATGCAAGTCACCTACAACAATGAGTCTAGGGCATTTGCTGCAGATACACTTGTGTCCTGTTTTCTATAGCTAATGATTTTAAGGTTAATTTCTACTTGTGTCTCTGGGTCCCTAAATTATTGATTATCACATAGAAGGTCCCCTAATACCCTTCCACATTCGAAATAACCAAATCAAGTCAACAAAGACACTTCTGTAAGGCTAGGAAGAATGAGTTCCTTTAATCTACTGAGTCTTACATTCTCTTCAGACCAGAAATATGTCTGGTTACTCTTCTTTGTACTGCCTTTTCGAGTAGCAATACATTGTTTGTAGTGGGAGAACCAAATCAGAATGCAATATTCTGCAATTATAAAGTCTAACTACTGTAATAAATATAAGCATCACTTTGTTTCATTTGAATTTTACACTTAATTATATACCCAAGCATTCTGTCAGCTTTCATAAATAAAATGCTTAGAATAAGGATAACACCTGTAGTCTCCCACTATTAAAATTAAAGCTTTTAAGAGGTAACTTTCATTCTTTAATATTTTTTAGGTTTGCACATCTACATCCTATTAATACACATAATCTTTAGACCATGCAAACCTTTTGTTTTCCCCCCCGATAAAAGTTACACAGAAACACAGATGATACAACCATTAATCAAATATTTGAAGAAAAAAAACAAGATATTCTGTGAAAATGGGTTTTACTGAAAATAAATCTTCAGAGTCAAAATAAAGCAGCAGACCATGTAAGTCAAGTAAATATTAAGTGAATTCCTACCTGTCCAAGTGAGCAATAGTAACAATTTCTCCACCAACAAAGTAATTTAGTCTGTTTACTGAGCTGGTATAAATGAAGCAGTCACCAACCCATAACCCTGTCTTTACAATTTCTTGTATTTCTCCTAGCACCTGTGGAAAAGAACATTAGTCCAGAGAGAAATAAAAAGGTTTTAATCAAATGTTAACTCCAATCAATGTTAATAGTGCAACTTTTGTCACTGCAACACAATATTGTTGATTTTACAATTACCAGAATACTTTCTGAATCATGGGTATAACCTTTACAAAGCAATTTAAATATTTATTTTCAAAGACGTAAATGTTAAAATCCATAAAAAAACAAATTTATAATATTCTACCTCAAAGGCATCCTCAATGCCGTCCTCTGTGACTCCCTCATTGGATTCCTGTGCAGCTGCCACCTTATCTGACAGGTACTTCAGAATGAAAAATGACTCCTCTGTAGCAATGCAGACCAATTCACCGGAGTCTGACCAGAAAATCTATACAGGAAAAAAAAAACATGTACAATATAAAGCAAGGTGCATAACCCTGATCTAAAGTGACCTTCTTGTAGAATACATAATTGACAATTGTAGAACAGAAGACAAAGGCATGTGAGGATTTCCCAGAAACACTCTGCTTTCTCTTGCTACTATTTTCTAGCCTTCTACTTCACCTGAAAATCTACCACTTTCAAAATGAAACTCAATGCCAAAGGATTAAACAAAAATCAACAAAGTTGCTGTTTAAAACCTCCGACTTACGTGTTTGGGCTGAATTTCAATTCGACGGACCAGCTCTGTGTTGTCCCAGTCATAAAATGCCAAACCATTAACAGACCTTACTCCCAGCAGAAATCCACCATAGATACCTATAGGGAATGTCAGGTAAAGGATTATCAATAAACTACATATATTGTACTTAAATTATATCAAGGTTCTCACAATTTAAGAATTTCCTTACCTTCAGCACCAAAGTCAGGTTTGAAAGACTTCTTATCTTTGAAATTTTTGAAGATCTTCACAATGCTGTTGCTTTCTCTGATTGCATACCTGTGACAGTACCAAGGATCAGTGACACTGCAGCACACTCAATTTATTAAATGTGATCCAAATGGAAAGAGTAAAACGGACATTCATCTCATTAACTTACTCTGAAGAATCATGTGCCCAAACAAACTCCTGTGCAGAACCAAAACTCTTGTTTCTTAATGCCATGGCTGTATAGATGATGTATTCACCATCTCCACAGACGACCACAAATCTAAATTTTAGATAAGGACAAAGAATAAGATGGAACCCATTGCATCATATATATTACAATACAGTGAAATCAAAGTGGTTGATAAAACATTCACAAAATCAGTTCACTTCCCCCCCCCATTTGTTTCCCAAAAAACAAGTCAGAATTTTATTTGGAAACCGAAATAATTTAGCATTTGTAACAATCATATTACCTGCCATTTGGGTTGTGCTGAATTGTCTGTGGATAAATCTCACAACTTCCCATATCTTTCACAGCCAATGGCAGACGTTCTCCATCCTTAATTTCAGCATCACCCATGGCTTTAAGGTTGGCTTGCTGGATCTCAGAATGCTTGGCCCAAATGATCTTTCCATTTGTGTCCATGGACATAGCAGGCTCTTCCCGACCGAGCTGAAAGAGAACCGAGGTGAGGAAATGGCCATTTTGTAAAGATCTATATTCAAACACGGTACGGTGGTTTCAACACCGCGTTGTGGAACTCCATGCCCGATTTGAAATTGTGTACCTTGATGATAATGCTGCCTTCATCGTAGCCTAGAGCCACATTGTTGGACCCCCGGAGACTGGCCACACACCATACTCTCTCCATGCCATAGTTCAGTGTGCTCTCCAGACGATACGTGCTTGAGTGCCAGATGCGAACTGTGCCTGTAAGGACAGAAGATCAAATTTAACACACATTACTGTTACTAAAACCTGGAAACTGGAACTTGCTATAAGAAAACTACGCAGGCTGGAAGCTAACAAATTAAGAGTGAGTATTACAAAGGAGCCCAAAAATGTCTGTGGTTTAAATGTGTTTTTTCCTTCAACAGGTAAGTTTTCTAGGGTTGTTTTTCCTGATATAATAAAATAATATTCTGTGAATGCAATGCAGGGTATTGTTATTAAGGTAAATAAATCCCAAGATAGAATAAGTCAAAAACCGTTCGAGCATGACTGATTTTTAACCATAGAAAGTAACAATTCCATACTTAAACAGCAATTATAAGTATTATCGTGTACTCAAAACAATAAGAAAAGGATTTCTGAGAGTACTGTAAATTCAATAAGCATTACAAATGATATCTTGGGAACTGTATGAACAAAGTTCAAAATGTAGCAAAACACATTAGTAAGTTTACTCACCATCCTCTGAGCCTGTAATGATAATGGGAAGCTCAGGATGAAAACTAACACATGACACATTCTGTGCGTGTCCTTCCAAAGTTTGCACGCAGGTTTTATTCTACAACAGGGAAACAATTTTCAGTATACAGTGCACAGAAATAAAAACAACCTAAAACTATGGTCTCGTGATTTGTCACATATAATCTACTTTTAGTTATAATTTTAATAATACACTATTGTATGTCAACCCTGTATTCTTTAACTGAAATAAATTACATCAGAAAGCCAAGAAGAAAATAATGGAAAAGTTATAATTATAGGTATAATTACAGGTATTTGCTGTTTTTTGTTCCATATACAACAATACATAAATACTAATTGTAGCTATACTTTGCCTTTCCATAAGTACTGAATGGAACCACTAGATCTTCTAAACCAATTCTTAGGACATTTTACTGGAATGTATACCTGGTAGTCCCAGATCTTCACCAAGCGATCATCAGCTCCAGAGATGAGGTACGGTTTGTCTCCTCCACTGTAATAATCAATGCAGTTCACTCCTTTCTCGTGGCCCTCAAGGGTAAAGTTTGGAGAAGAGGACCCAAGCTGCCACACCTGATAAAACAATAAAATGCTGGCTCATTTTCTAAAGAATCATGGATTTGGACATTGTATCAGTCAATTCTGTACTAGAACAGCATTAATCTTAACATACTTTGATGTACATGACTAAAAAGATATGTAGCCTCTGTGAGATGTTACCTTAATAGTTCTGTCCAAAGAGGCACTGGCAAACTGGTTGTTGTCTTTTGGATTGATGACGATCTGCATGACATAGTGGGTGTGGCCCTCAAACACCTGGCTGCAGGACCACTTCTTCTCCCAGTCCCAAAGCTTGATGAGCATGTCATCTGGAGCACCACAAACGTGCCGTCATGAGATCGGACACTATTCTTTCACATCTCCTCTGAATTTCAATACACCACACAACACACTAAAGGATAATTCACTAGGAATAACAACACCCAACAGCCAAGAATTAAGTGCACTGAAAGGTTTACTGAGTGTTTTAGTCTTTGTAAACTTTGATTAACACGCTTGGTTGAGCCTGGACGAGGTGGCTGGCACCCCTGGAGGAGGTGACCAAGGGGCAGCTGCAGAGGATGAGAAGGAGTGGAGGGGGATGTAAAAAACATACCCAGGTGGAGATGGGGATTACATATAGTTTTTATAATTTGGATGTTAGGAATTGTTCATTCCTGACAGCTGAGAGTGACTGAACTTGGCTGTTGGCTGTTCCAAACTTATATTTATAAACTCCCTTTCAACCACCCCTTTTTTCCCCACCATTCTTTCAACTATACACGAAAAGGAAAGGAAACACCACAATACCACATAATTCAAGAACTTATCATGCATGTTGTATTACAAAGACTATTCTCTTGTGAGTTGCCATAGAACACATTTAAAAAGTATTTCATACAGACAACTGCAGTATACATGACAGATAACATCCATGCATCACTTCAGATCTTACCACTGCTGGTGAGAATGTAGGGCTGAGTGGGATGCACTGCTATACAGCGGATGTAATCCGAGTGTGCTTCAAACATGTGAACCCTTTCCAGAGTGTTGTAGTTGAATACACGGATTTGCATGTCATCCTTTATAGAACAAAAAAGAAAGGAAACTTACACATACTTGTCTCAATGTCGATTATCTTAAATCTCCAGCTGAATTTTGTATTGTAAAATTTAAAACCTAAAATTGAGTTTAAGAAACAAAACCATGACATATTATGTTGTGTACCAAATTAATTTATACTATGTAGAGTTTAAAAATGTAAAATCATTTTGCTTCAATGTTACTAACATTATAATGTCTTCTGAAACCATGAGACTCCCATTTTGCTCCACTTACTCCAATTTGGTTTAAAACCAAATAATGCAATACTTATAAATCGAGCTAACAGTTTTAATTCTGTCTTATTATTCAATATTTTCCCCACTATTAAATAAAGGAAAAACACATACTGCTCCTGTGATGACCCAGTTCTTCCTAGCAACAAATTTCGAGGCTCTTACTGGCAAATCACACACTTCAAATGTCTTCACAAGGGTCTGGGGATAAAAAAAAACGTTATTTGGATTACTACAAATAAATTAGCATACTGCTATTTCCCTTGCAACAGCACATGAAGCAACAGTTATTAACAGGTTATGTTTTTGGAGTTTTGCTTGTTTTAACGGCTTTACTAAAATGCACTACACACCAAAATACAGCTATTTATTTGCCAGAGTACAGATAATGCAGACCCCACTTATCTGTTCACTCACAGTACTGCAGCCACATCTTCAGCCAGTAGCCTACCTGGGTCTCATGATTCCACACACAGACACTACCATTATACAGACTGGCCAGCATCCACGGCTCAGTGGGGTGAAGATCGACACTCTTCACTCGGTCCGAGCGAGCGGTCAGCTTCCGCTTAATGTCTAGTCTCAGAGGCTGGAAAACGAAGGTCAGTGCAAACATGAGTTTTTTTAACCTCAAAGGCGCTTCAAACATTAAAAAGTGATGTGCAAAACATATAAACGGCCCTTGTGCTGACTGTACGTCTTCAAAGATGAACATTTAAAAGTCAGAGACTTGTATTTTGCTTTAAGGAAAAAAGGCCGATTTAACTAGATTTAACAGTTGGGTTTTCAGTCTACAACGTCTGCCGCCGTCAAAAATTAAAGCAGCAGCTTAGCGCTGAATCTCTCTACAAGAAGCAGTGATAGAGTGGGTAAGATGCTGTCCAATGTTAAATACAACCTAAGAATTAGGGTTAGTCTACAAAACTCTCCAGGTTTTCAGTGTTTTTGAGCCAGAGGTGAAATTCTAACGTTGGATCTTGGTTTGACACACCACACACCCTCATCTTCCCTTTAATTTTCAAGACAACACGGTGTTCTCACGGCTGACATCACAAGTCACATTCGTATTTTGCAATGACGACCAGCAGGGCTAACTCAATTAATCGCCACAAACACAAACGGATTCAATAAATAACCAAACAGTCCCGTTCTGCATTTCTAATTCCTTCCTGCTCGCTAACCCCTGTCGTGGCAGCCTGTGTGTGCAAGGTTTCTGCCTGTGCTGCTGGGTCAATACAGTGCTGCAAACGTCGGACCCCCGTTTTTTTCACTGAAGAAAAAATACTTTGTAAGTGTACAGCAATTAGAATAATTAATAAAACCCTCAACGTCACCATATTTCAGTTGTGTTGATGTTATTGTGCGCTGGGCCTTCATCTCAAATACATTTCGTACATCAAGGCTTCAGAATTAACTGCAAGCCCTAGACTACAATGCTAGCAGAGGAACCTATTTAAAACGTAACTCCAAATAAAAAAAAGGTGTTCTATGTCTGCTTTTTATCACTTACCATGATTGCACGGAGCCGGAAAACTGATATAAGCGATTACCGGATCCCCTCTCCTAGGTATCGGCCAGCAGGAGCTGCGCTGGACTTACTGACGTGGAGTTTCCTGCCATGAATCACGCGAGAGGTCCCGGAGGCATCACCGCGAGATCTTGTGCAGCTGGTCCAACCCTGGACATTTTCACCGTATTATGGCGATTAGGAGGGGCGTTTTTATTTAGCGTCTCATGCTACAACGTGCTACAACACAGTGTTTTCTATGCATTATATTGTTTAAATAGTAAGGCTGTAAGTACATCAAAATGTGAGCATCATTGTTAAAAATGCCTTTTGGTTCGATCATAGTATGCACAAGGGCTGGCAGAAATGAGTTTCAACCACACCGTCCTCCAGCGAGTTCCAGACTCTAGTTGAAAATCATGTTTGCCTTCTAGGAACTGGGTTTTAAGTCCTCCCAATAGATGGCTGCCTGCTTCGCTTCACACACCCATCTTCGAGGTGGGGAACACGGATGAATTATACTGTTGTTATTTTTTTAAGAACACAAGAATGATTAATTCTTAAGATTAAGACTGTACAACGCATCCACCTTGCGTCTGGGCAGAGGCAACATTGACAGTGACCTGTTTCTGGCCTGAACACATCTACACATCTACTGGTTCTGTTCTTTTTCTTTTCCCGTTTACAACCGTTTTTTGTGCAATATATGCCAGGGACCCGTGCAATACATTTATATTTATATTTATATCTTTATTTATATCTATATATTAATATGTGCAATACGATTTTTCTGCGTACTGCTCTGTTCTAGTTTGTTCTTTGTGTGTCCGGACTGTGAGTAACTCTTTTAGCGCACCCCTCACTGTCCTGATTGTATTGTATGTATTGTATTATTATTATTATTATTATTTTTATTATTGTATCATTCGTTACACTGTGGCGGTGTCTGTGTTAGGCTGCTGTTGCACCACTGCAATTTCCCTCACGGGATCAATAAAGTATCTATCTAATAACGAGGGTCCATTCGCTCCATCCTAGCTCATTCGGAAGTCCGTAATGTATTTACTGATTCAAGGACGTCATCCTGGTTTCTACAATGAAAGCACGGTCTTGGTCCACTCTCCCACACCCCTTTTGATAAAGAAGAAAAACAGTGCCTCCTGTTCTGTGTTTGAAATGCCCTTTCACATACTTTCCCATCGTGCCCTCTGCTCCGTGTAATTGTTCATCCTGAAGACGTCTGGTGCGTTGGCTTTGTGCACAGTATATTGAAGTGCCGCCCTGCTGTGCTTCCTTCCCGTGTCAGTGGGTAGGTAGGGGGTGGCACTTTTCCCATGGTCCAAATGTCTGTTTTCCATTAACGCAGAAATGAACTTTGCTATGCAATCTCTGGATTTATTAGAGGTGCAGCAATAAAACTAGAGCATTCGTGTGTTCACATGCTTTATTTGAAGCCATACATTTGACGTTTAGGATAGTGTCTATTGAGAGCAGAAATGGTGGTGTAACAGTTAAGACTGCTGTCTCATAGCTCTTGAGTCTTCTCCCTATCTCCCAAAGACATGTAATGTATAATAATGTAATAATGTTTCTTTATTAGCCCTATACAATTTCTTGCATTAGGAATTTGTCTTTTCGCATACTCCAGCTTTTCTCCATGGAGACACAGACACACAGACAGGGAGAGAAGCTTGGGGTCAGAGCGCAGGGTCTGCCATTGTACAGCACCCCTGGAGCAGTTAGGGTTAAGGGCCTTGCTCAGGGGGCCAACGGAGTATGATTCCTCTGCCAGCCGCGGGATTTGAACCAGCAACCTTCCAGTCACAGGTGCAGATCCTTAGCCACAGAGATGCTGGCTAGGGTGGACGGACTATTCTAAATTGCCCATTTCCTTTCAATGTCCTAATGTCCTATGCAGGGTGACAGCAGCCTTTGTGCTCTCTGTCTTGCATTGGACCTCCAAGGTTAGTCTCTGTGTTGCTGAGACCCTCACCTGCACAGGCAGATTTCTCATAGAACATGGATGTGTATTAAAGTCCCCAATTCTCCACTTCCAATACTCCTTTAATAATAATAATTATATTAGTTAATAATTGCTTACACTTATATAATGCTTTTCTGGACACTCCACTCAAAGTGCTTTATAGGTAATGGGGACTCCCCTCCACCACCACCAATGTGCATCCCCACCTGGATGATGCAACAGCAGCCATTGTGCACCAGATCGCTCACCACAGATCAGCTATCAGTGGAGAGGAGAGCAGAGTAATGAAGCCAATACATAGAGGGGGATTAGTGGGAGGCCATGATTGGTAAGGGCCAATGGGAAATTTAGCCAAGATGCCAGGGTTACACCCCTACTCTTTTCAAGAAACGCCCTGGGATTTTTAATGACTACAGAGAGTCAGGACCTTGGTTTTACACGGCACCTGTTTACAGTATGGTGTCCCCGTCACTATACTGGAGCATCAGGACCCACATGGACCGCAGGGTGAGTGCCCCCTGCTGGCCCCACTAACACCTCTTCCAGCAGCAGCCTTAATTTTCCCAGGAGGTCTCCCATCCAGGTACTGACCAGGCTCACACCTGCTAAGCTTCAGTGGGCTACCGGTTTTGAGTTGCAGAGTGATATGGCTTCTGGCACTAGCCACCAACTATCCACCTTTAACACTATCCACCAAGAAACCCATTCCAAGCCTACATGTGACTCAGCTTGAAAACAAAAGAGGAGAAAAAGATTTGTGCTGAAGAAAATTCTGAGAAGGGTCAATACGAAGAGTTTTCCGAGAAGACTGGTCTCCAGGTTTTGCGTTTTTTAAATTCAAGTCTACTGAAAATAATTGTGTGTACACTGTTGTTTAAAAAAATGCCAATAATGGAAAATGTGGAGACTGCACATCATGCAAGTTTTCAGAGTGCAGCACTTGAAAATCAGAGTAATCAGTTTCTTTTATTTTCTTAATGGTGCAATTTATTCCAGGGGTTGGCTTTTTTTCTTTCCTACTCCCCATACAGGCTATTTTGTTACAGTATTTGTGTATTGTGTGGCTTTCTTTCATTGCTTTACTAGATTCCCAAAGCATGCTGACAAATGCAATGTAGGACTCTGCTGCTTAATCCAGAATTAAGGAATATATATTGTCATAAGTGTATGGCCAGAAATAATATGGAAGCAGTCCAATATTCCACATATTCAGCTTAAAGCTGTTAAGCTTTGCTTTGTAGCTAGAGAGCCTGTTTGGATTTCTCCTCTCATTTATCAATGTATTCCAGTATTCTGAGGAGCTCTCAGAAAGTTACAAACGTTCAATAAGGCATTCATATAATATCGGAGAAAATCACTGAAATTAGAAGTGAGCATACAATTCCAGAATCAGACCTTCCTTTGACCGCATCCCTGAATTGTTGTTTTTCTCACTTATTATGTTCTCCCCTCAATTAAAAAAACAAAACAATGACTTTAGAACCATTTTTGCAATACTGTCAAAAACCGGTTTTAATATGCTTAAAATGATAATAATGAACAGGAATTCCAGCTTTATTGTTATTGTTTCTTCTTAAACACCTGATGGCAGACTTTGTCTTCACATGTCAGTTCCTGGAGAGATATACAAGAAAGATAGGAATTCATTTATATACGAAGTAAGAAAATATTCTGAATGATGTACTGCAAATCATTAACTAGAACATCAATGGCAAAATGTAAAAAAAAAAAGTCCTTTCATGGTCAAAAACTAAGTTGTGCCTGGCATGTGAGGTGAACAGTTTCCAGAAGATTAAGCAGAGTGTTAAATTCGACTATACAGTGCCTCATCTCCTTATCTACCCCAAGAAACATAACTTTACTTGTATATAAGCTTCTAAAAATGTGCATTTTGTAGCTACTGTATCTCCTGGTGAAAGCCAGATGAGTTGTCTTTGAAACAGCTGCTGTAAATAAATCGGAACATGTTACCTATTCCTGTTGTCCTAAGAGTCATCCTTTTAGCAGTACAGAGTCACTATTGATTTACTGTAATATTGTAGGCCTAAGTGAAGAAAGTGTTTATATGACGGTTAAGTGAAAAGAGGAGGACTCACCAAGTGCAGTTTGTCTCCTTCAATCCAGTGTTTCCAGCCTCTGTTGGCTTTTTCTCCCTTCTGGACACAAACCAGTTTATCACCATCCCATGTCACCACAGTCTGGGATGTAAAAAGACAACAAGAAAATGACAGCATTTTGTAGGCATTTGGACAGTGTGACCAGTCTGTGTACGAACAGGATTAGGCATTATGTCTCAGAAAATTCATTCTCCTTACATAAAAAAGTATTTTGCTTCCACGTTTGTTTTATAGTTTTCTTGGTTGGCTATGTATTCTTTGAGTGGATAGTGCAATTTGTGATCTGAAGACTTCATTATTCCTTGATATAAAAGATTAAGAAAGATTTAAAAAGACAAAGGTTCAAGAGAAGAAGCTCAATAACAAGCTCTTTAGCTAAAATGTTCCGAAATAACCTCTACTCATTCTCATATATTTTTTCTATTGGTCAAATATTACTTCCTTTCAGAAAAGGTCCTCTTGCTGAGGAAATGAGAATACCTGTAAAAAAAAAATATCCCAGATTTAATCATGCTTGCACAAATAAAGCCACCCATATTATGAATATTAAACATAATTTTGTATTTCTTTTTGGTGAATAACCCTCAGGAACCCTTAACGTGTTAACATTACCAAAAAATAAATAGCATCATAACTAAAAATAACTTAGAAGCTTCAGGCGGTTTCTTAACGGTGAGGAGGTTTGTACCTTGACCACTCTGTTATCCAGGCCCTTAGTGTGTTCCTCAAACTCCTCTCCTATGGTGTAGTTCACATCATAATTCCGAAATGTGCTCAGGGTTTTCGTCTCAAATTTGTCCCCATTCTGAACAAACACTTTTGTCTGTTTCAGGTGCAAGGCAATTTTGCGGGTAGCAAAATCTATATCTGTTTTTATTTAAAAAAACAACAACAAATAAACAATTTATTCCAGAAATTGATGCATTGGATTGGCATTTGTATCAGAACATTTTAATTTAATTTCACTTATTGCTGTTTGTCATGAAATTTCCATATCTGTATTGTGATAAATTGCTGTCACCTTGTGCAATTTAAAATGGTAAAAGTCATTTGGGCTTTCCAGGAAAATATCAAATGAAATAAATGAGTTTAAATAGTGATTCACAAACCATTCAAGTCAATGCTGTTCAGCAGCTAATTCAAAAGTTGCAACAGAATGACACGCAAAGTTTCTCTAAGGGATAAAAATTTGGAATAAAATCGATATGTATTTCACACATTAAGTAGCAGACGTTATTTAAATACTCATGGTTAAGCTGTGCTGGCAGGTTCTCAATAAGTAAATGAAGCAGGACTGATCCGCTGTGCTCTTGTCCATGCAGAGTGGCAGAAATACTTACCAAGCGCTTTCATATACTCTTCAAAGTTTTCATTGCTTTCCATCTCCCATCTTCCATTGTAATCTGCTGGCATTTTTGTAATCTTCTGGGAAGTAAACTGGTTTGAGCACAAACTGCAAACTTTGACTTGCAAACACACAGAAAATGTACAATAGATCTAGACCTTTTTATACGATTTCCCCACTAGCATGGCCTCAGTGCAGAGTTCATTAGATAAAAATGTTTATTACTCTGAGGATTGGGTAACTGGAACAGCTTTCAGACTTTTAATTTCTGTTGCAAGGGATATTAAAGCAGCATTATATATACTTAAGTGCAATGAGCAATTAAGGCAATTTTGAATTTATGATTATACATTGACAAATCTTCTTTCCATAAGAGCCCCAATGTTGTGCAATGATGTATAAGTGGTTTACAGAGGAATAATTGTTTTCATAATATTATGTGATCTTTGGAAATGGACAGCCTACTGCCTCTGTTTTGAAATGCTCATCAAGTTTCGATGCTTCAGTTGCTGTATTCTGTAATTCTGTACTCTCATTTCTGCTTCAATCTGAGAATAGGGATATTCTTAAAAATATATTGCACTATTGGGAAGCATTAAAAATCAAATTTTGAAATATGCTTTCAGTAATATATAGTTCTTCATTCTTGAAGTTTGTAAGTCAGACTTGCATACCTCTTTATTAGATGCAATACTTGAGATTTCTTCCATAAATAAATGTTCTGTACATGTGATGCTATTTACAGTATGCACCACACTCTGTAATAGTCGACATTACCACAAGAAGTCATAGTGGGTCTTAATTTACACTGAATTTGTGTGTGATACTCAAGGAGGTAAACAGTCTGGGGATTAGATTGGGGATTAGAACAAAGCTAATTTTCTCAGAAACCAACCTGAAAAATGAACTTGAGAAGTTGCATTATATTCATATGACTTATACAGTATGTACAGCATGTACTTCCTCTGAAAATATCCATATTATCTTTCTTTACTTCTCACTTGCTATCATGCTGTCTGTGTGATTATAGGTAGCTTTGATTTCTTCTTAGATTGTATTTTATTGTGCTAAATGAGGAGTCAAGCAAAAATAATTTCTCAGAGTGCTGTTCAATGTTAATTGTAAAGAAGGCAATTGGAATCAGACCTCACATTTTTCTCTGATTGGAAAGGATATATCCTGTGAATAAACTATTATTTTGCAACACTAAAAAGATCCCCTATGTTTCTGCCTCTGTTTGAGAAATCCTTTTCAGAAGTGAAACAACCTTGAAAATGTTGCAAATGGAATTGTGACAAGAGACAAAGCATATATAATCTGACAACAAACAAGAAAAGAAATACAAAGACACTGAAGCCTTAAAGTTCTCCTCTGACACATTCCAACATAAAAAATCTGCAATACTGTGCACACATGTGGCTGTTTCGTGGTGCAAATCCATTATCTGTGCAGACAAGTTCAAAGTTTACCCTAACTTTGATATAACTGATGTACAAAGGTGTTCCACAAACTATTTAGGCAGGTTAATATTCTCACAATTTTTATAAAATTATTTTTTTGTTCAATAAAACAGATAATTTGTTCAGTAAGTGATTAAAACACCTTGAGGTCCTGGAGGGCTTCTGGTCACATGTACTGTATTTGAAGTTAATTGGTTCTGACTCTAAGCTCTGAGCAGAGATAGTCCCTACAAAATAATATATAACAAGTTATTATTTGATTTTTATGGCTGCTACACAAACGTTTTTTGGGTGGGTGATGTAGCCTAATGGACCAGACAAAAAAGCCTTTTAGTGAAATCAATGTAAACAATGTAATACCTAGTGAAATAATCCAATTAGGACTTCCCTTAGTGAGAAATGCCTTTTGCAAAAGAAAGTCATATTTTAAATAACTCAATATTTAAATAACTAAATAAATATTTTAAGAAAGCGTATTTTAAATGATATCATTCTTTTAGAAATTTCCTACTTGTAGAATAGAGAGATGGGTCTATTCTTTTTCAGGTATAAAGCTATACCTGGTCTTCATACAGACAGTTCTAAGAAAACGTAGTTGACATTGTTTACCAAAGTTTTTTGTTTGGGTTTTTTTAACAGCGAATTGAGTTTTCACAACGGAGACGCAAGCCACTATATGTGGACATAAGACCACCAAGAGAAATTTGTCCTAATATGACCTACTTTTTCCCAGTAGAATATTAACTAGACTTTCCATATCCATCTGGTGAAATGCAGGTTTTAACTGAAAACAAGAAACATGAATAGAGAAATGCAATTTTTCCCAGCAGACTTATACTGGTCAAATATAACGTTGCTAGCACAGAAAAGCATACCTTGACCAGCTACAAAATTTCAAAGACTGCGTAAAAAAAATAAGAATTGCTTTATAATCTTTTCATAAAGTGCCAGAGAGGCAGTTTTCTCTTTCAGATAACACTTCTATCAGGTGGAGTGAAGGTCAGTCTTGCGTGGAGAAGTGATTAAACTGATAACAATTAACATATTTCATTGAAAGCTATAAAATACCATGGCTTTGACATTGTGCTTTATTATACTGCTGTATTTTACAATGTGTTTAGATACATTTTATAGTTTTTTAAAGCTTAAATTTGCAAACAAAAATGATGTTTGGCCCTCCTTATTGCAATACATCCTATGTTGTAGTATTATTTATCAGTCTGGTCTGGAAGCCTTGAGAAAGTACAGCAAGAAATATCAAGAACATTCAAGTAAGGTAGATAATAAAAAAAATGAAATGTCACTGTAAACTTAAATAATCTGAGCAATAGAGCAAATCTGTCTCATAATACAACACAATTTCTAAACCAGGGGCTTACACAGGGAAGATGCCGTATTCTTAGTTTTCTAGGATGTAAACTTGAACTTGCACACTAAAAGAAGAACATACATTTTCACACTGCACTCTTTGCACTCTTTTACAAAAATTGAACAAAATGACCAAAATGAACATTCTTGCTTGTTCCATTTTATTTGCATTTTGGCACAAATGTGTATCAAAGTTAGGAGTGTCAGGTTTAACCTTAGACCTTTTCAAATGGTACTACATGAAAAATGAAGAATACCATGTAGACAGATAACACACCACGATTTAGTTTTGGAAAAATCACTGAGTAGTGGTCCTTACACAGTAATATTGCTGGTAAAACCCAATGAGTAGAAACAAATAAAAAGCACAGCCTATTACAGTGGGTCCCACTACACTCTTAAAGAGTACTGAAGCCATGTCTGTTTGCTTTGAGAGACACGATTTGAAGGCTTGGATTTCCCTGGGATGGCAGTATGTACTGGGCTTTAAATTTCTCTTCATCCAGCCTCATTCTGTCTTCTCCAATCTCAGGCTGATTTATTACTTGACTTTTTTGAAGACTTGCTTGCATTTCACACCACATACTCTTAATTCCTAAAGAAAACAAATAAAACAAAATTAATTTGTTTCTTTCAGTCCACACTGATATTGGCAACTCTGGAAAAGTTACCATCACACTGGAAGGAGTATCTGCCACAGTTTTTCCTATGTCGTCATACTTTGATGTTGAAGTGCACTATATAATATGTCCACAGGAGGGCCCAATGTTTAAATGGACTGATATTGTAAACTGACTGCAGGTGACTTTGAGTGAATACAGTAGCTGACTATTCATTATCTGTGTTAGTATTAATCAACATCAATGTTGGTATTAATCGATTTTCAGTTACTCTAAAATATTTAAGTTAATATTTAGTTATTGTTAGTATTTATCTATTTTTAATGGACAATAGAAACTATATTGTATATTTTGTGTTTAAAATAAACCACATGTAATCTCAATATATCCTTTGCAGTGAAGTTATGATGTCAAAATACACACCTATCTAAAAAGGAAGGCTCCATTTAAGAAAGACTTCTCCATTACAACATGTATTTTAATGTATTGTCCAATCACCTCTTGAAGAATAATTTCTGTCTGTGCTTTACCAATCATCGGTCTTTTAATCCATACAGACTACATGCCTCTTTTCACAATAAATGTGAGACATAAAGATGTGTGGAAAAGGTACAAAACACAGTTTTAACTGACGAGCATTTCTGACCACCAATTTAAATGCAAATGATTAATATAGTCTGTTGCAAGTGATTTATACTTCATTAATTATGGATCACACACACACACTTTATATGTCATATTTATCTCTGTTGTTCTTAATGTTTATAACTGCTTAACTGTCATATGTTATCAATCATATTTCTATAAACTGCTGATAAAATACAAAAATGAAAATAACTCCTTAGCAATTCATTATTAAGAGTCAGCAGCTGCATCCCAGCTCTGACAGCTCTGGAGTAGTGATACATAACCAGTTCTAGTGAGTGTTTTCTACACCCAATATTAAATGCCGAACTAATGTAGTGGAAATCTCTGGTAAAGCACAAAAAACAGAGAATCTAAACAGAAAAAAGAGCCAGCAATGTTTAGATATAAACCTTCTATGATCCTAAATCTGAAAGCAGGATTTGTTTGGATAAACCTAAAGGAACATATCTTAAACATGTCGGGATGTAATATTCTTGTGAAAGTGAGAAAATAATAATACAAATGTTTTGATAAAAAATTAACTTCAAGCTGCCTTGGCACCCTCAGAGAGACAGTACAGAGTATTCCACAAACTGTAAAAATGAACATTTAGGGGTTTCAAAAGAAGATAAAACAAACACGCCATAAATTCTCTAAATACAGCATAGGTACATATTTAAACAAACATTAACGAGCCTATAAATTAGTATTTGTTGTTGTCCATCACAAATTAAGACAATTTAAATAATAACAGTTCTGTGTTCGTTTGTTTATACACATGGGTACTGTATACTGTATATTTTAAAGAAACAAAGCATTGCAAAAGTGAGCAAAAGGTGAAGGCCTCATTATTTATACTGCACTAAATGTGAACACGTTTGTCTTTTAATTTAAAGTGTACTATTTGCAGCCAACTATTTTTATACAGACATACAACTCAGATACTCTTATTACAGACAATCCTTGGGGATTCAATAAATACTATTATGAGAGAAACACCTTAGCACTTAGAGATACACTTGTCCATTTTGATTAAAGAACCAGACAGAAAGCACAGGAGGGTCTTCAAATGGGTGACAAGATATTTTGTTGATCGTGATCAAACGGTCAGCATCAGAAGAAAATTAAACTGACTGGAAATCAAAGTGAAAGCTGTAGGTCTGTGCAGCCTTGTGGCGGTGATGCAGCAAAGTATTGAGAGAAGACAAGAAGGTTTACCAAGTGCAGTTCATCTCCTTCTACCCAATGGGTCCAGCCTCTTCCCTCTTTTTCTCCATTTTGAACACAGACAAGTTTATCTTCATCCCAGGTGATGGTGGTCTGTTAAAAAAAGAAACATTTAAAACCTTTGAGGTTCCTCATGTGTAGGATCTGTACATGCAAGTAAGATTATAAGAATGCAGTCTGCAGTAGGTTATTGAAGCAGAAAACACTATATATTGTACAAATGACAGAATAAACAAGACTTCTTAAAACAAGTATGAACTTATTAGTGCTTTCATGCTGTCTCCACTGCCACCCTCCATGGTTATTATATAGCACGTTTAATAAAAATAAGAACAATTACTTGTTATTATAGTTTAATCCTATGTTACAGCTTTCCAAATCCTGCTTTCAATGAATATCTTTCACTGGTACACCATATGAAAGGAAAGCTGACTTGGGGGCATCAAACAAAAGAAAAGAGTTAAATATTGCTTTCTGTTATTTTATGTGAACATTATTCATAAAAGAAACAAATCACATCTAGACGACAGGAAAACTGAGAGATAAGAGCATATTCCAAACATCATGAGTTCATCAAGACATATAAAACACTCTTAATTGTGAACTATTATTTTTCTTACATTAGCCCAAAAGGATATGAAATTGAATCAAGTCTGATGACACTGGCAGAGTTCTCCCTTCCCCAGCTGATGAGCTCAATCATTATACATTTCAGACAGACAGTTTTTCATGATCTGATTGAAATTGATTTTTCTGCCTCTATGATGGTGTTCAGGGTCACATTACTACACTTTTAAATAAGGCAAATAAAAATTGTTTTGTAGAGCATTTCCATCATCATGTAACTGATTCTTTAACCTACCACAACTATACTGTCTCTTTGAAACAGTGTGAAAGTCGCCAGCTGCTTAGTGAAATCTGCCAGATTTCCACCTTCCATTGAAGTCATATTTCTAAAGTTACAGCTAGAGGGCAGTAGTGTCTCTACGCATGCACGGCTAACTCCAGTCCCTAACGCTACACATTTTTTTGTTGTTGATAATTTCCTTGCATTTGTTGTAGCAAAAATATTAAATGAGTAGTGAAAATGTCTGATAATTAAGAGCCTATAGCTTTACCATCATAGGTTCATGCTGATCTTTAAAGCTGACCTTTCTCTGATCTCATTGCTCTGTTGAGCAACTTAGCTGAAAGAAATGGAAGCACTCCATGAGAACTGGAACTGTGGTGTAGCACTGGCACTAAAAATGAGGCTTCACATGTTAATGAACACCTTGTTAAGGGCAACTGCTTTATCACTCAGACTTGAAAGTCCTAGAGCACTCAGAGTATTTGTTCTGTTCATGTTTCTTCCCTAATTGAAGGATTATGCACTTAAACAGATTAAAATGACATGCTGCAATGTACTGATTTATTAGAATCTTTGCTTGATGTGGAATCTTAGTCAATTCCCTTTGCAATGCAATTGATTAATTATAGCAACAGTAAATTCACACACCTTCCTGAAATACTAATTTTATTTTTCAAGTGTTTAACAATGAAAGTACATTAATGTTTTATATCTGAAATTTCCAGTCAAATGGTTTCATAATGTCCAGGCTTTTTTTCTTACTGAATTTGTATGTGTGTGATATATTTACTCTTCCTCAATTGGTCTGAATTAAATACGCATATACAGTACTAGTACTTCAGGTGAGGTCTATGATTTGCTTTCAGTATATGCCAATAGGATATAGAGAAAGAAAGAGAAGTGAATTCTCTAATACTATCAACAAAATAGTGCAACAAATAGATGAATACTGGCACAATAAGAAGATAGATAAGTAAAGCTCTAAGGCTTGGAACTGAAATTACTTTCCACCCACCAATTGCAATTTCTGAACCCACTATTGTCATTTTTCCAGCTAACAAATACAAGTAAAAATATTAATGAAGAGATATGTTTGGAATCTGAGATTGAGATTCATTTCTTATCTTCAATTTGACATTTTAATTATCCTTCACTTCTACTTGACTACTGCTAGAATGGTCAAACTCATAAGAAATCTGAACTCAAAGGAAGGTTCATATCAAGCAACTGAGAACTCTGCTTACACAAAGACCAGAAGTCCTTCTAGTCCTTCATACTCCATACTGACCTGATAAGATGTAACTAGAACTGTGACCGCAAGAGTACACTGTCCTTCTACTTGTTGAGCAAGCTTTAAAAAGACAGCAGCCATATCACCCTGCAACTCACAACTGGCAGCCCCCTGAAGCTAAGCAGGTGTGAGCCTGGTCAGTACCTGGATGGGAGACCTCCTGGGAAAAACTAAGGTTGCTGCTGGAAGAGTGGACCAGTAGGGGGTGCTCACCCTGTGGTCTATGTGGGTCCTAATGCCCCAGTATAGTGATGGGGACACTATACTGGAAAAAAAAAAAAAAAAAAAACCTGTCGTCCTTTGGATGAGATGTAAAACCAAAGCTCTGACTCTCTGTGGTCATGAAAAATCCCAGGGTGAAAAGAGTAGGGGTGTAATCCCGGTGTCCTGGCCAAAGTCCCCATTGGCCCTTACAAATCACAGCCTCCTAATAATCCCCATCTATGAATTGGCTGCATTACTCTGTTATGGGTCACTATGGCTGCTGTCTCATCATCCAGGTGGATACTGCAACAAATAGATGTGAGTCCCCATTACCTGTAAAATGCTTTGAGTGGACTATAGAAGTGTAAGCATAATTATTATTAAATTATTTAAATGTCCTACTATGTTCTCTGTTCCTTAAGTTGGAATGTTGGAAAGACTCATATTATACCATTAAAATTCCACAGGAAAATTACATTATGAAAATCAAACCCACGCATGTTAAATATCAAATGTTAAATCTCAAAACTCACAGGACTACATCTGGCAAGTACAGTAAGTGTACTTTATTAACATCAAGATCTGAACAATTTAATTCAGTCTAGGTTTGTGTACAAACAAGCTTTCAAATAATACTGCTACTTATTCAATTTGATTCTTAATGACCCATGGCTAACCAGTTCTAATCTCTTCTTTGTAGACTGCAGCAAAACAGAGGCCTTTGTGAAAGAAACAATGCTAATTCTTACCATGCATTTTCGATCATCCACTCCACTCAAATCCTCTTCAAACTGTTTCCCTACTTCAAAATCCATTATGTAGTTTTTAAAGGTGCTCAATGTTTTAATGATTATGTGATCCCCGTTCTGAATTATGTCTTTATCTGGTTTCAGCAAAGTGGCGATTTTCCTTATTGCAATATTCACATCTGCAGGGATTGACAAAGATGTAAAACACATTATTTGCCTAGTTCTGATCCAACAGAATGTCTACTAGCAAAATATTTTGGTGAACCTTTCATGTTAAAATTAATGCTACCGCCCATTAACAATAAACATACAAAGATTAAAATGCTAGAAGTATTTTCTCTCTGTTCAAATTGTTCCCCTTGCCTACCTATGGTTACGAAGCAATTTTACAAAATAATTTACATTCAACACCAATTTCTTCAAAGAACTCTAATAGCTCCTAAAAGCTTTGTTTAATTGTAACAGGTTATGGTACATCTGAATATAAAAATCAAAACTAAAATAGTACATTTTTGCTAGTAGCTAACTGCAAGGAAATGCTTTACTGGTAGAGGACTCAACAGGTTTTGAAAGGTGCAAAATGTTAGGTGTCTTTAACGGATTGAGCCCTTCCTATTGGACAGCTTCTCACTTTAGTGATCAATATATTGAGAAGATAATTTATAGAAGAGGTCCTTATCCCTATTCCAGGGGGAATCCAGTCTCTTCTTGTTTTCATTGCAACTAAGCTAGTAATCACTGATGCTAATTGATGGCTCTAATTGATCTACTGCCTTACTTGCTGCTGTTTTATTTTGTTGACCTGTTTCTGCACTCTGTCGTTGGTAGGTCCTTGCTCTACTTCAAGTGTATTGTTCCAACTCCTTCTGCACACAGACCCTTTATGCAATCTCTGCCTCAAGTTATTTATTAAGTTTTCTCCCTTATTTCTGTCAAAACAGCTGTTGACAGGACATCGATTTATCATGAACAGAAACAGGTGTGATTGAGAATGTATCAAACCCTCTCACAATGCGACTGTATGCTTTTCTTTCTGCCAATATGTGTAACTTGTTACACTCCAGCTAACTCACAGAAACAAGGGAAGAACTGCAAGTCAGAAATTGGTACAGGATTGAGACCATTTACTAATCCCATTTAGCATTTTAAGACCTGAATGCAAATTTCAAAACATGCCCCAATTTGACAATTGAAATCAATTAGCCTGTGATTAAGAACTCTGCTGGAACAAAAACCAGAAGACACGCTGGTCCCACTGGTTCAGGTTTGGAATACACTAATTTATAGAACATAGCAATCAAATATACATTACTGATTCATGAATATATGCTTCATTGCCACCTGGCAAAAGGGTAAAGCCTGACATTCACATGGATATTATTCTTTAATTGTTCTGAGCTGGGAGCTCAGGTCTCAGAGCATTCTTCTGAGACAACTAATTAAAACGTGAGTGAACTGTCTACCAGCGCAGACGGAGAGATTGATATTCTAATATCCTACACAGCAAGTGTCATAAATAAACATCTGGAAATAATTGTTCACTTTGTCTGCTCGATTTGAGTTTTTCTTCAACCCAGAAAGCTACCATTTGATATCTTGAGCATTTTCAATGTTTTTAGATAAAATACAGATTTTTCCTACGGTATTTCTCCAGATGGATTTATTTTATGTTTAGGAGTATTGCTCAGACTATTTCCATTGAGAGGAAAACCTAGGGTACAAATAACGTGACTTTGACATTTTTGTTATTTTACTCAAATTTAGTCCATAATTGACACTCTTGTTAAATCGAGCGTTTAATGAATGAGTCTTTCAGTCGGTCAGATAGGTCTAGTTCATATTTTAGTCAACACAAACATCATAATAATGCAGTAGTTCAGCAGTAGTGCACGCAACCTTGTAGACATGCCAGATTAGTTTAGAAGGTAAATCATGGAAAACACAAATTAAGCACAGGCAAGTAAACAGAAGTATTATTTGAAGTAGTTTAATCGAACCTCGGTATTTTAAGGTAAGCCTAAAAGAAGAGTCGAATGCTCCATGTATTCTTAATTTTACTACGAAAATAAAATCAATGTATAATTCGCTTACTGTTCTATATCTTAGGTTTAAAGAATTGACCTACTTCAATGATTTTCGATCAGGGGTGCGAGAACAGATTTTGAGAAACTAAGGTTAAGAACCACTGCAGCAGTGTTTTAGGTGTAAAACTACTGGCGACCACAGTGCAACTGTAACAACCACTGTTATTTTTAAAAGAAGAAAATCACTACAAGTTGTAAAGCCTCCCTGTGTGTACGTTTAATTGCTGAACACAGTTCTTCATTTAATATTAATATCTATCCTTAGTAAGAAAGTGCGATAAATTCAGGTCTTGAATTACGACATTTTTTCTCTGCGTTATTCATGATGCACCGACATTTCAGGGTACTCTTTATCCAGGCTACAACAATTCCTCACCCAGTGCTTTCAGGTATTCTTCGAAGTTGTCATTGCTGACCATTTTCCAATATCCATTGAAATCGGTGGGCATTTCGCACGGACTTTAAGAGCAGCGATCCGATTCCCTTCCTGCAGGTTCACCTGTGCGTGCTTGGATCTATATCTGCTAGTCTCGCTTCACCAAGAGCATTTATCTGCACAGGTTTTTAATCGGATTACTGTATTGCTTTGAGTGGTGCAACACTCCCCCCCGATTCCCTTCAGAGACGCGCAACTTGTTGATCGTTGTTACCAGTGTTCATCGGCGCATCGTTTAAGAATGATTTACAACTTCACCTCTTTCAAAGCCTTTTCAACTCCTGGAATCGTATATTCGTAGTATTTTCAATTTATTTAATTCTAGATTGGGAGTCTTTCAGTTATACATTTCATACATTTATTTTGGCATTTTGGTCATCTATAAAATGCCATAAAGCACAATATACTGTAACATTGTGATATTTGTGAATCCCTAAAGTTATGACAGATCCGTGTTTTATTTAAATTCAGCTGATTGTATGGTGTATTGTATTGTATCTCAACCTTCAGTTCCAGACTGAAAATTAATACATAGTGCGCATTTTTACAATATAAAGTTTTAAATTAAGCAGCCGTTTTGAAATTCTTTTGCAGATGCTGTAGATCGGTAGGCTAACATAGAACTACAACAGCAAAAGAGGTTAATTTAATTTCTAAATGTGTCACTTTTCTGTTATTTCTTTATACATAGAGACCTTAACACTCCCTCCTCTATATCTCTGAATTGGGCACTGATTACACTGCTGTATACATGTATGTTTTTTTCTTTTGGGAAAATTTGCTATGGCAACCAGTTAAGCGGGCAGTGTGGCAACTTTCTGCTGCACACGAACGCAAAAATAATTCAAACCCAATACAAAGTGGTGTTTCAAAGGTTGCATAAGCTGTTACAGGAGGTTTTTTTTTTATAAAAAACGAAACTGTTTCAGCTCTGCGTCTTGGTTCGTCCCCTTTTTACTAAACTGATTCTGTTCTCCGTGGGATTTCTTTCAGTTGGCTGATAGCGATTTGAAAACAAGTGTAGGTACTGCTATCCATGTAGAAGATAATGTGATTTTAAGAACAAAGAAACACAGTAGAAGACCAGATGATCTGTCTAGAATGGGAAATATTGCCATTCCCGAGAAACATGCTACTGTACATCCACAAAAAATAGCAATTTATATTAAAGGAAAGCTCACAAAAATCTGAAAAATTTAAATATAACACCATTCATAAATTATCGCAATGTTAGTTGTTAGTTAGCAAACCACACCATTAACCTTTATCTACAGAGGCAAGTTGCCTACCTCTGCTAATAAGGTAGGAAGCTGACTAGTTGGCGAGGTACATAGCAACAGTTACAACTGAGAGAAGGCCATTTTGCCCATCTAACCATTTGGAAGTTAGTAATTGATCCAAAGATCTCATCCAGCTGTTTCTTGAAGGAAGCCAGGATATTGGCTTCAAATACATGACTAGGTAATTTGTTTCATACTCTAACAACCCTTTAGGTACAGAGGCACCTCCTGTTCATGTAGTTTCCACTGGCACCTTTTGGTTTGTGTTGCCCTATTGAAATTCACCAGGGTGATTTTGTCAGTGTCCTTAAGGATTCTGAATACTTAGATCAAGTCCTCTTGCAGTCTTCCCTGTTCAAGAATAAAAAGGTTCAGTTCATTCAGCCTGTCAGCTAAGGACATTCTCTTAATCCAAGGAATGTAACTGATTGCTCTTCTCTTTATTGAATTCAGAACAGCAATATCTTTTCTCTAAAGTGGTGCCTAAAATTATGCACAGTATCCTCAATCCGGCTTTACTAGAGCATTATACAATTTTAACATAACATCTCTTGATTAACACACTCCTAACTATATATTTTAAGTTTTTATTGCTTCTCCACACTTTTTAGATGTAAATAATGTATTAACATACACAACTATAGTACGTGAAACCTCATCTCTTTTCCACATTTTGTATATAGTTTAGGTTTTTGCTACCTGCATACAGTACATAACCCTACACTTTTGTAAAACAAATGTCATCTGCAGATGTTTGCCCAATCTTGAATAATATCTTAATGCTTTTGAATTAGCTTTTTATACTGTTTGTGGCAGTCCTCCTCATTTTGGTATCACTTATAAATCAGAATAGTTTACTATACCAGAATCTAAGTTGCAGATATAAATTACAAAGAGCAGTGGTCCTATTACAAATCCTTGTTGTACTCCACTAATTACCCCTATCTGAGCATTCGTCCCTAACCTGTAATCTTTTTTATTCTTATTGGATTCTGTTTCTTTTAAACCAATTTTGAGTCCAGACACATTTCCCCAAATGGATTTTTCACCTGTAATTTGAAAATTATTATTTTATACAGAACATTATGAAAAAGCCTTCTGAAAATTTTAAATAACTTTATTGTAAATATCAAATGAAAGTTTGTGAACCCCCTTGTTTGGTTTGCATTCATGTATTGTATAACTCAGACCTAAAATGAAATTAAATCTTCCAATTAAAAATTGAAAGTCAAGTTCAATACTTAATAATTAAGTCTTAAGAAAAGATGAAGATAACCTGATTAAAAATGTTACCAAAGACACAAAAGACATAAGATAGATTTGGACTATTTAATGAAATGATCCAACAGTAAATATCCTCATGTGAACAAGTATTGTACTCATTAAATTATTCCTGTGTTATGACAAGTAAATTCATTATGCTGATTATTATTTCATCATCATGTCATCAACAGGGAATCTACTGCCAAGTTGCAAATGTTGTCTTGGGGAATTCTGTCCCATTCCTCAGACAAAACATGAAGAAGCATGTGCTTTTCACTGGTGTCTGAACTGCAAATACTACACATCATCACCATCTCTTCACCCAAATGCTCAGTGTGACCCAGTGCATAGTGGATTTCCACACAAGAAAGACATTTTGACATGAGGATGTGTGTGTTGTCCTGCTGTAATGTTTCTACATCAGGATGAGCCCAAGGGAAAGAAGAGCAGCAATAGAGCGATTGAAGACTTAATCAATGGAGTGCCGTGCAGTCAGGTTACTTCAATCAATACCAGTGGAGATCCATAGCAACTAGACGCTCCTGCTCAAACCACAGCACTTGGTTCTCCCCATCGATCTTGATGATATGTCACGACTCGTGGTCTCCACAGTTTGTGGCCGATCATTGACGGGCTGTGTTTGGGTCTAATGTCTGGCAGATTAAAAATTACTGGATGTGAATTTCCCAAATGGCAACAGAGAATGCATGGATTTAGCCTGACCTGCAGCATACAGATGCTTGACACTCAACAAGTTAAATTACCTGATCACCTGTGCCAAATCAACTCTCTCACTAATGAGGTGATTAGTACACATGCAAGTCAAAGTGTTTCGAGTGTATCACAGTCATCAATGATCAATTAATGAAAATGACACCAAAACATTTAATCAATACTCCAAATCCATATATATATTTTTTTTTTATAAACACAGATGCATAAAGTGATAATTTAACAAATTTATAATTTCTTTAGGGTTTGTAATCTATTAATTTTTTTTTTACTGAATCTCACTTTTCTTAGAAAAACAATATTAAGCTGTAACCCCTCTTGCACTTTGATCCATGTAAGAGCCATTCATAAAAACCCCAGCATCAATCAATTCTTCTGCACTTGCACACACTGCGAGTCATCGCAGTACTAAAATCTTTCAAAATAAATTCATGCATAGACATTTATTTAATCAACGATCTGGAGATTCTACATCTCCAGAAGATACTTTAAAAACAAAACAAAAAGTACTTCAAAAACAAAGAGTACTTCAGCAGATGCAAACATATTCTTTGAAATGATTACTCCAAAAGGCACTATATTTTTAGTTATATACTGTAGTAACTATAGTTTCTGGACTAATGTTTTTCAATTTTCAGTTATAAAATAATTTAAATTTTTACTTTTAAATTTAAATTTACATTTTAAAGTATTTTTATCAGCATGACTGTCAAAATGACACATAGGACAACAGTAAAAATTATATAAAACTATGCTACATAAACATTACAGTAAGTCCCATCCTACCCTTATTCAAAATATAATTATGATATAAATATCATTCAGTACAAATCCAAAACCCAATGTTTAATGGTTTCCTCCATTTTTAGGAGCCACCAGTGCAGGACATTTATGACAATGTACAAAAAGATCAGACTGTAGTAGATCCAGATGATGCTGTGTAACATAATCATTGTTTATATTCCTTTACAGAAATGAACACAAAACATCACAAAGGGAAGAGCAAATCCATTATCATCTGATGAGGTATTTACTCACTCAAGGTTTAAGCTAGGAGCCCTGCTGTTTAAGAGGCTGCAGGATCAGCATATTTCTGCTCATTCTCCAACGTGTATAAATTGTGCTCTTTAATGTATTCGATCACAGAGTCTGGGAGAAGGTACTTAACACTTTGCCCTCGTTGGATGGCCCTACGAATCTCGGTGGAGCTGATCTCATTCTGGATCCACTCTCTGACCAGGAAGATGTTGTTCTTGTACCTGGTGAGGGTGTCCGATTCGTGGATGAATCGCCCGGAGTCACGTTCACCACGACTGACACACACCAAGCCAAACTTACTGACGATTTCTTCAAGGTGATCTTCTCTCCAGAGATGGGGGATCTTGAAGGTTTCCAGGAAATCGGCTCCACAAAGCAGCTTAAGCTCTGGTGTGTCTACTGTAAAATACACGAGATACGGTACCTGTGGTCTGCTGAAGGTAACAATCATCATCACATAAAAATATCTAAGACACTGGTATCATTTCTTTAGTATGTCAGCTATTAAATTCTTACATCCGCAAAGCAACTATGAATTACTTTGAGATTCCAGCATCTGCAATAATTCTTATTGCCGACTCCCTCTATAATTAATAAGACCCAGCGTATTAAATAATGCAAGCCATGTATGGTACTACATGAGATTACATACTTTCTGTTCCAGCCCTTGTTCAAAACCCACTTTACACCTGTAGAATTTTCAGATTTCTATTTTCATACATTTTCTCTTTTTCATGTTAAATAATTAACCGATCTTAATGTTTTTTATGAACGATTGCCTCTTCCAATCCCATTAGGTTGCTTTGGGGAACACTCAGTCACTGGAGTTATTTTCACATGAGTTCTGACAGCTTGTGGAGATAGATGCTGTTAGCACTTCTGCATAGTTCTCTAATGAAACTCAGCTCATCTAAACACAGTATGGCATCTGGCTCCCACTGCGCACAAGCAGAGAAAACTATGTGCTTATGGTAAGAAAAGCAGCTGGGTCTCTAAAGACTATTCTATCCTAAGACAAAATATCAAATTTCCATTGGCATACCTGTAAGTGTGCATTGAACAGATCACATGAAACCAAAGCACGTTCAAATGTATTACTGTAGGAAAAATCATGAAGAGACCAGGATTTTTTTTTGTAAATGTCCATTTCTAAGCAGTGTAACTACAGTTTATTTGAAAATTTGCAGCTTACAAGTTACGTCCCATTGATAGAGTGGAAGAAATTCATGAAGAATGGTCCAAGCAGTCTATAATTGTAAAATAACTATGTAATTAATGTAACAGCTTTTCTTGTTCATCTCTGGACTAGTGAAATGGAAATCTAATAAGTAAATTGATTCTTAAAATGTAGAGAGCTTTGCAAAGAAATATATTGGGGCTTTTAGATAATATATTTCAAGGATGTAATTGCTGTGCTACAGTACGTGGAGAATTTTAGAAAACAGTGCGTCAACAAAGTACACTGTTTAGGTGACTTTAGAAGACAATGTACCAAAACAATATATGCTGTCTGGGTCGTTAGAATTAGCCGAAAGTAACTGATAAGCTTTGAATAACAAATCTAGTGCTTCTTCTCTCGCTCTATGATGTAATCTGTTTTGTCTTAGGGAAAGGGGAAGTTTTAGAAGGGACAAAGCGCTGAGCTTTTTTACATTGCAACGTCTTATAAAAACCCTGTACTGCTTGTAACAAATTGAGTCTCTGGTTGCACTTTGCGAAGTGGCAGCAGGGCTCCCAATTTTGCAATATTGAAATAAATACCTTACTCAGGTGAGAACTCTCTCTTGTGGCTTCCTTGATAGTTATGTTTCCATGACACTAGGAAGTAAGGAGGTTTACAATACAAATATCCAATTCAGTCAGGAGGAAAAATAAAAGTTCCCATGAAACAAAGACTTGATTTGTATTGTGCTGCTGTGGTTTTTCATAAGGTGTTGACTATCAATCCATTATCATTGATAAATTAGATGACAGCTACATGAAACAAAGACAGTAAAAGGAACAAAAGTTATGCACAGTTACTCACAGCCAAGAGGCAAATCATTCAGTCAAATGTAAAAGGGAAGGTTGAAATTATCAGACTGGGAAATACAGTATGTAAAGGTTAAAAAGATTATGTCTTTGTATGCCTCAATTAAAATTGACCAGGGAGTTTACAGGTAGTTCATTACCTTGTGATTTCTTTGTATGAGAATGGAGCTTAGTCTCATCACACTTTCTTTTTTTGTTTTTTAGTGCTTTTCCCCCGCTTCAAATAACTACATGGTATGGAGTTGTGCTGTAATAAAACAACTGTTCCAAAAATATGAAAACGGATCAATTTTCTCCTGCATCACTATCTATGCCAGGTACTGTGTGATACATAAGATTTGTACGTGTCTTGGTTAAATCATTCTCTGTTTGTAATTGTTTTTTCCAAAAAGCTGCAGTAGCTCTGTGTCAAAGCTGCTCATTTTAGGATGAAAAGTTGGAGTATATTGTTACTATCCATTTCACATGTTATACAAAACCTGTTTTAAATGCATCACCTGCAGTTTAGAGGCCTTGCAGCGTTTTCTGGAATATATGAGGTTAGATAAATACTTTTTCTGCAACTGGTTCCAGTTCGTGTTGGTCTTAAGTAAATACTGCCTTCTGTTTCTGGCTGGAGTACAATTTCTGGCATTATTAATTAGTGTGCGTTCTAAATCAAATTAGCTTCACATTCTAAAAATTCACATTAGCATTTCATAAAGGAATAATACGAATTTTCCAGCGAAAACACAATTTCTAAACAATATGTATGTTTTGTAGCATGAAACAAAACTTTATTTTATTTTTTGTTTTATTACATTATTGTGCTTAAATTGTTTCACTATTAAGGAAGCTGGAAATGAATTCTGGGGGAGAAATTTTCTACTCTTCTCTAGGTACACAGAACTAAGGATAGAAACCACAGACCCTTACCTGCGGGGAATTTGTTGTTATGTTTCTTCACTTTGCTCATGTCATTCAAGCTGACCTGTGACTGATGCCAGTTAAGAAGCCTGTTATAATGTTGCCTGCAGAGCATGAAGAAGAAGAAGAAAAAATAAGGCTACTGTTTGATTAATCCCCTTAGAGATGAACAAGAAGATTTGTTCTAACTTTCAATTACGTGAACAAAAGTCGGCTTTAAAGTGCTACCAAGGAAGACAAGAGGCCACTTCATGGTTTAATCAGGTCTTTGCGAAATGCCGCTTAAAATGAAACTTTCACAAGGGGATTTGAATCAGGAACAAAAAGCCCTTTGTAATGTGTCACAAGTGTTTTGAACACACCTTCTCCAACTCCATTTCTCAAGCTCTTTTGCATGACCATGGCCCCACAGCAGTGAAGCCTACTTCATTTGGTGATAAAACTGAAAAGGGGGAGAAGGAAGCACTCTTTGACACACTGTACTTTGCATCTAACCAGTGACGAAAGCAAAGGTTGGGCTGAAGCCATCTACTCACAATGGCTGTAACCTCTGTCATCAAATTGCTCTTATTTTGCATCGTTATGCTGCTCAGCATATCATTCTTCACCTTCAGCTTCTCTCTAAACTATTGCTAGCTACACTTTGATATACACTATAATGCTACTCATTCAACAACACCTTAACAGCAGCATCCCCCTAAACTTATCATGTTGATGCATACAACACTGTAGGTACTAGGAGCCATGTAGAAATGTTTTATGACATATTTTACATTTAATACACAGAATATTATCCCAAAGCCCACCACAGAATAGGCATTATGAAGGCTTCAGTCATGGCATACCTGTGCTTGGCAGATATAGCTAAGTTGAATAGACTGTATTATTTTTCTTAAAAACTTGTAGCAGTCACTCTCTGTAGGTGTGAATAAAATGAGTGTGTCTATCAGGTACAATAAATAGTAAAAGCCACAGGGAAAACACAATGTTTAACACAACAAGCATAAGTAAATCCTTGTGCAAAATAAATTTAGCTCTTGCTGTAATTGTACTATGATAATCAAGAACATTTATAAAATATTCACAGTAGAACTCTGTGCATACCTTTTTTATCATAGATAAAATATAATATATTATATATTATAAGATATCATATGTTATATATAATATATCATAGACATATTAGCTAAACTTCATCATACCTATCATAATGGTTAAAAACGAGCAAGGTGAGACTCAATTGAAAGTCAGATTAAAAGAAACTCAAGAGTCAGTATTTGAACATCGTATTGTAAAACACGAACTTCTTTCCTCAACTATGATGCAGTCTGTCAGCATAAGAATGCTCACTTCCAATAAGCAAAACAACATTTACTCTCGGCAAACTCTTTACAAAAGGCAAAAATGTTCCCCACAGAACTTCACCAAATGACTGGCAAACACAGACACGGCCATTCAAGAGTTTTTTTAAAGTTCGTCATCTCTAAAAAGCCAACCACTCATTCCCTGCAGCACACAGAGAAAACCATTTAAATTATTCCTATGAGATATCTATGAAAGATGGATATCTTGGAAATAGCAGACTACATTTGAGGGTTTTGTTAACTTTTACATTTTCATTCCCCACACGAACAAAGTTGTGGGAAAAATTACAAGACTGTGAAAGAAAAAAACACTTGACATGGAAAGCAGAGTATTCTGGGTTATAGGAGGTAACTGTTTTGTATTAACCTGCAGTAATGTGAAAAAAAAACAACCCATAATGCTTATATTTGTCCAGTTTAACACAATTTGAATTTAGGATGGTGTACAAGAAGATTCCCCAAGTGCATCCAGAGGGCTCTTAAAAGAGAAGTGGCAATTTAGCATAAACGGTTTTGTATTGTGCAGCACAAGTGTTGTCTAATCCAGTAATTGCTGTAACTTCTGTTGTCTTGTTAGTAAAAGATAACAAGTGTAAAAAACTATGCCATTTTCCAAAAAGATTGGAGGTGTTTTTCAATACACTTGTAAATCTATAACCGGCCAGGACTTAGATGCCATTTGCTTCTTCTTTTTATCAACACTAAGTACAGAAGTCCTGGGCCTTGTAAACACACCCCTGAATAGATGACATGGAGTCAGGCCCAGAGGAGGATGTGGCTTTATCAGCCTTCCCTCCTAAAACACAGAGATGATTTGTTTCTATGAAACAAAAGAATAATGTCTCAAGACCCAGGGGCAGGATTACTGGGGTCTAGCAAAAAGGGCAGGAGAGAGCCAACAGATCTGATGTCTTTCGTTGCCCTCAGCTAACCAGAGGAAACCGCTGGCAAGGGTTTTAGTTCAGTTTTCTGTCTGGCTTTGCCTGATACCAAGCGCTCGCGGTACACAGGCCAAAATATTTTACGCAAAGCTACTTTTTTGCTATCAGGATTGTCAGAAACTCTCCCTGGAGCAAAACACCACTCTGTGACTGTTCTTCATGATCATTTGGTTATTAAGTCATTGGAAGAGCAACGCAACAAAAAAAAAAACAAGAATGATTTTTAATTACCTACAGTAGTATGAAAATAGTGTTAGTTTATGGGGATAGACATAAATCCAAGAACAACAGGCTGAACTTCTCCAGCTGAACAGTGATTATACACAAATTTTGGGATAGATACAGTTCTCCAGAAATGTCCAGAATTCACTGTCTTATATTAACATTATAATCTATAAATTATGTTTGTACAGAAAAAAAGCACTAACATACATAAAAGTAATCTTTAACATTCAAGCATTAACAGGCTTAGGGATAATGTTAAAATGGTTCATTACCATTTTTGTTTAAAATAAAAAATCCATTAAAGAGGAAGATAATGTGTTTTTATGATGAGTCCTTACAATATAAATCAATATTTAAAGCAAAGTTTGCACAAGGGTGTCTGTAACCCCTGTCACTGCTAAGTCAAAGGCAATGTTAAATTATTAGGTGCTTGGTAAATAAAAGATGAAGAATCTGCAATCCATGGACAGTTCTCTTACACTAAAAGGACTGTTCAACAAAAAGCTGTACTCAATATGTACTTACTAATACATATTGTGTTGTCAGCTATTATAGGATGTCAAAACTACTGTATAACCTTCTTCCTCTGGAAAAACAATAACAGCATTGATTTTACTGTGTTTTTGTTGCTGTAGTGAAAGCTCCAGACAAATAAAACCTTTAAAGAATTAAAAAGATGTGAGCATTTTTGGCATAGCCTAACCTTAAATTTAATTTCACATGACGGCCTGTCTTTGAAGTTGTAAACATTTTTCGAAGAAATAGAATCGCTTTCCTCCTTCTTTCTCTAAACACCTGAAAAAAAAATTCAGCTCACAGTATTACATTTTCATTCTAATATTTTCTTGCAGCAGGTGCATCCAATTGCTGGTCATTAGATGCCAGTCATCCCACAGTTAGCTTGGACATAATAGTATTTTTAGCAAAAACCTCACAGTTCTTTCACCCTCCTTGCTCAGCCTACATTTCTGAAACTAAAGTGAGAACCAATGCACACAGATCAGCCATATTGTGGTTCTCCTCTGCAGGGAATCGAGCTAACTTCAGTGTGCAGTGCAGTTTTATTACCTCGCATGAGTCAAATATGGTCACAGCAGGGATGCACAGCATCTGCCCCTGGGGACTGGAAGTCCTCCAGGTTATCTGAATCACTAAACTGAGGTACATAATTAAAGCTGCAGAAACAATGAGACACCTCCACCGATCTGTAGGTTCTTGTAATTAAAAGGCTATCTGTGCAAGTAACATGCTGGACAAGGGTGCTGTAGGAATCATGCTGTGTGGTAGGCTAGGCATTTATTTATTTTTGTCCGGGGGGCCTCTTTTGCTCGTTTTTTCTTTATCTTTTTTTTTTACCTCAGTGTGGTGACTGTTGTGATCCACTGAGGCTGCTCGCTTTCCCAGGAGTCCGCTCGGATCCAGTCTGAAGTCCGCAGGGCCAGGTGCGTCATGGCGACGCGATGTGTGGCCGACACCAAGCCTTTCTTGCCATATTTGTCGCTGACGGGTGAAACAATGCCTCCGATAACTTCATAATGCCCTGGAAGAGCAGAAGAAGCCTCTTCTCCATGGACTGAAATTACATACAGTCTGTACAGCCTATCTATAAATATACCTTAATGAATTTCAGTGAACAACCTGTATATAATATATAACCAACCACACATTAGAACACATTAAAGTAGCCCTAAAACACTCTGCAGGTAAACAATTTAATTTATCAATAGAAAATCAGAAAAAAATAAACACATACTCTTAGTATTTCACATTAATACATGATTAGTAACAGAACTTTATTTGTAGTTTATACTCCACCAATTTCTGGGGTTTTAGAAACCAGTGTTTAATTTTAAAAAATGTAGTGTGCCAAGGCAAAGGGAACAGGAAATATGGTCTTTCACCATCTGGATTAAAAAGAATGACAGGGTTCTCTCCTCTCCTGTAGACTATTAGACACTACTAGGTGGTGGTACAGGGATCTTTGACAATCACACGATGTTTTAATTCATTATAAGAAACAATACAAAACACCTTTTTTACAACATTCTGTGACTTATATATGAGGAAGATATAAAATGACATGCTGCAAAGATATAAATGACAAAAAAAGCTATCTTTAACAAATAGAAAAAATAAAGCCCTTACAAAAAAGAACATAAACAGTACTCAGTCTTAAAAATAAGCCTGTTTGCATTCAATCCCTACTTTGTGTTAGCTTATTATTTTATGATTTAGTGCCTTCATATGCTCAGAAATAGGCTTCTTGTTACATTGTCACTCTTTTACCAAACAGCAGTTTTCTAACCCAGTACTTAAGACCACACTGTTGATCACTGATGCATATACTGTAAGCCTTTCACAAAGGCCTCATGCTTATATGAATAAGCTCTTTCCGGCACACGTGCTGTGTAGCCACATAGATTCTGGACCAAGGCCTAAATTGTACTGAAGTGTAATTCCTTGCATTTTGCAATTTATCACCTTTAGTCTTGCTTTGACAATACATCATGCAATGAAATGACCATGGGTTTACAGTGCATGACCAATGTTTACTAAATGTAATTAATTATGTTCTCTCAGTGCACGCTTTATAGGACAAAATCCACACTGTAATATTATGGTGCTTTAATATATTTGTGTTCTAAATTTCTTAAACATGTCCACAAGCGTCAGTAGTAATATAATATTTTTTCATTACCTGTCATGCAAATTCCATCCAGACACCTACATTAACAGAAAATAGGGTGATGGGAGCTAATATACAGGCCTGCCTTCCATGCAAGTCTCTGCAGATTTAGAAGGAAATATTTTCTTTATAAACGAACACAAGGAAAGAATCGGCTTTGCCAATCTGTGAAAAATCACACTCGCGGATTAACCCTGCTCAGGGCAAAGCAGAAATCCACCATTTAATCTAGGAGTGTGTGAATCTAGAGCTTTATCAGCCTGAACAGAAATGTTTTGTATTCCAAACAGTAATAGGTACAGTACAGTATGTTCATTCTTAAAGCATTGAATCAAACTAAATGTAATTCTCCAGTATGTGCACTATGATACTATCTGGCAGTATGGGATAGGCATTGAGTAAAGGGGAATATTTTGAATATCTTCGAGAATATGGATAATTACAAACTTTATGACAGCACCTGAGAATATCTAATTCTTATGGTAATATTTTTTATAATATATTGTTTACCAACAATGGCCTAAAACTTAATCTTCATACTATCTAACTTGCATTTGAGAATCTCTAGCAGGGTTGTTCCCTACAGTAGATGCAATCGATACCTGACTACAATTAAAAAAAGTTAGCATATCCTTTATACTTTATATGACATTGTATATTTTATAGTAATGTACCATTTATGTTAAGTGGACATTGTCTGTTTTTAAATTATGATCAAATAGCTGTCCTTTAAAACACTTTGTAACAATGAAATAGATAATCCTTTCAAAGGAAGACTGGAATAAAGGTTAAAAAAAGATTATGAATATGGCTTCTTATTCTGAAACAGACATAATCCTTCATCTTATTTTTCCTATCACCTGAGACCCCATTCTCTGCGAATTCTAACAGAGTGCCTTTTCATTTCAGTGTGATAAAATCGTAAAATGGAACAATGCTAAATTTATGTCTGCTCAGTTCCTTTGTGGTTCAGAGTCAATAGGGGAATCTTACATAAATTTAAAAAAACACACAGCCGACGAAAAGGCATAGCTTTCGAGGAGCAGAATGTAAATCACACTTTATTACTGATCAATATTACATCTTATAACCATGTATATTTCACTACATGGATTTCTATTTCCACAGAATATGGGATCTGTTCAGCAGCTAAAGATTAACAAATAACCTTGCCCAAAACTCTGCCTGTAGCATGAATGAATGACCTTCAGCTGGATGTAAATAGAATATTATATTTAGAGGCAATAGCTGTCAGTCACCTTTGTCCTGTTCGAAGGCTACAGCACTTTTTTCACATTTTGTTTCCATCTCCTTAATTGTTAGAAAAACAAGTCCAGGTCTGAAGGCAATTTAAAAGACACACACTAGAGAAAGACACTGTTTTCATTCCACTCTTAAAAAACAAAAATATTAAGTTTACATTTGGGTGGCATGGTGGTGTACTGGCTAGCTGTAGTACTTCACAGTGCTCGGGCCCTAAGTTCAATTCTAGACTGGGGTGCCGAATGCAGTATGTAGAGCTTGTTTACACTCCCAGTGTTTTTGTGGGTTTTCTCTGGATTCCTCTCATAGTCCAAAGACATACTGTGGGTTAAATTGCTTTTGAAAAAACTAGCGCTGGTGTGAGTGTGTGCCTGTGTATGCTCTGCGGTGGACTGGTGTCGTGTCCAGGGTGTACCCTGCCTTGAGCCTATGGCTTGCTGGGATAGGCTCCAGCACACCCCTGATTCTGAACAGGATGAAGTGGTTAAAAAATGGATGGATGGAAGTTTGCATATTAATCACCTGTAGAGATACTTATGAAATACAAATACATGTTATAAGCATACTGTTCCATGTGATGTTTTCTGTGACAATGCAGAATAATATTTTTATTTAATATGCCTGGGATATTACATTAATTAAGAATTTGTGACAGAAGGACATGAAAAAATTCTTTAGATTCCTTTAGCACAAAGGACCTTTGCATATATCCCACCTTAAAACATTAATTACTCAAACATAATAAAAGACATGAACAGGGCACTAAACACTTTAAAATAACACAAAAAGGTGTCACTTTGAGCCATATGGCCTTTGATTCCAATCATCATTCATTTGCACTGACCCTCCGATGACTTACTTCAATTTCCCTGTGATATAGCAATGTGAAAGGAAAATGCAAAATATATGCAGAGCCTTCATTACGAACCAAGAAATTTGTTGTATAATAGCACAAAGAAAGTAAAACGTGAAATGCAAAAATGATTTATAGGAAAAGATCTTTTATCTCAAAGTAGCAGATGTTGTATATTTAATAAGACAGTGGGAAGCAGATGGTATATTGAGAAGATGTGTTTGCAACCTTATTCACAATATAATGCATTCCCCAGAAAGGGTACTTGCTATTAGTTGCAAACAATGGTTGATTTTTCACTGCATTCATACAACAAAACTGTAGAATGATACAAAAGGTGTTTTTATTTTTCTTACCACGAGCACTCTGATTAAAATTTGGCCACTTTATAAAAGAAATACAGAAGACAGTAAACTGCTTTTGATTCTGAGTTTACATAATTCACTAAATCGAAGGCTCTAGCAGTGAAAAATTTTGATTGAAGTTCAGTTTTTACTGTGGTCTGCCTCAGATGCACAATAAAATGCATTTATGAATAGGACCAAACAGAATATGTTCCATTGTTTTTTAAAACAGAAAAGCTAGAAACACAGGATGGCATTTGGAGATTTCACAGGAGTTCTATATTACTTTTCAGTGATTTCTTCTCCGGAAACAAAAAAGAGAATCACAGACTGACTTTCTAGGACTCTAACTGGCAAAATATTGAAGGACTCTTAGGGCTGGGTTACAGCAGTACAGGGAGTGTAGAAATACCAGATGTGGTTTCCATGAATATTTATAAGATACGACCACAGTGAGATATGGTATTTGACCCCACAATCACATTATTCTGAATATGCATAAGGAATTATATTTTTATAGTTACTTACATTTTAAATGAAGCCACAGGTTTGTGGTGCAGTGCTATTTGCATTTGACCTTGTCTCCGCTTTCGTCATTTGAAAAGTCAAAACTACTAAACATCAGTACTTATGAAGGTATTAGATAGATAGATAATACTTTATTATTACAGTATCTTACAGGAACACTGCGGTACAGGAACATTAAGAACATAGCCTGAATTAAAAATGGGGGATAAAAGAAATGAAGTTCCACTGTAGCTGTAACCCACTGGCCCTAACGTGGCTGAAGCATAAGAGAACAAAATCTGAAGCATGGGATATTAATTCTGTTTCTACACAGACTCAGTCAGATAAAGTGGAAATGAACATTTTGACTGACAGATCTTCTGCTTTCTCCCTCTGAAACTCCTATACCACTTCTCCATTTAATGGTAGTTAAATGCGTGGCCTATTGGGCACAGCCTCACAGGAGGCTGGGAAAAACGAAATACTGCAGAATCACACCAACCTGTTTGATGCATATGGTCTCTTGCTAGTTCGAACAGGCGCATGTGTTGGTTGGTAATGGGGTTGAAGGAGCCACAAGCCAGCAGCACAAGGGGAACCCGGCCTCGGTAAGCCATTGTCACACAGGGCCTGAGGTGTTCACTCCACATTCTAAAATAATCAAAGCAGAACACAAGAAAGCAAAGCAGAAATCTTCTTGCCTTATCTGCTGACATAGATCTGATGTCAAATTCCTACATTCCTTCCATGTAAAGAATTCCTACTGGATAGTGAAGTGGTTCTGTTAAAATCTTTTTTTTTATGATTTCATATGTGCAGTCTTTTAAATCTGCCCGTGAAGAAAGAGGCAGCAATAAAGATGGTGATTGCACTAGATAACATATATTGTACTGTAGGTGTCAGGAATTTACCCGCATGTTTTAATAATGTGTTTATTTTTTTTTATATAAGTTAAAAATTGTTAAAGTAGTGTGTAAATACTAACCCTAACCCTACCTGGGGTGTCAACTGAGCATTTCCGCTGTTTATATCTGAACATCTCTGGGTTTATGATTTTGACATGTTCCCCAAACCAAACAGAATGAATGGGAAACAAAGAAGACCACTGATAGAACCACTTGCATTTGAATGGCAATCAATAATGCTTGGTGTCAAGTTCTGATCCAACCGACTCAGTTTTGTAATACAATTGCTGTGGACTGGACCGCAACATCCAGGTTTTTTTTAAAAAAATTGCAGATAGGAGTTAAAAACCACTTGTCCTAAACCTGATTTGGGACCCAAAATTCATTCTTGAGCTTAAATAATAACTCACATCTGTGTTGTTTACACATCATGAACAAATGTCAGAGTTAAACATTTTAGTTAAAGGTTTTAGTTATTTAACAGCGTAACCCCATTCCTGATATTAAATAATAGACTACATTCCTGATCAGTTCTGATCTGCTTCTAACATTTTTCCTAAGATAAAAAGCTGCAGAATTAAACTCTTAGGTAAAAAGCAAAACGTTCAATATCTGTCAATAGGTACTTCACCAAAACATGTTTTCAAGTGTGTCTCAACCATTTCCTATTTCAATATATTTCTCCAGTGTTTGCCTTTAAGAGTAAGCTTTAGTCATTTTGAGGCTGTAATTTTCTTTTTTATGCTTCTGATTTCTGATAATCACTTGCACCATTAATGGCCAATAGCTCAGAGAGATACTACATGGCAAAGGTGACACTACCCAGTGATGGAAATCAATGTTTTGTTAAGGTTAAGAGCCTGTTAATCAACTCTTCTATCTAGTCATCATTACGCAGAGCTATAATTCAGCTCCATTAAGCACCTGAAAGTGGTAAATTGCTTGATCAAAGCGGAAATCTTGAGACAAAAATGATACGCCTGAGGAGTTCATTGCACCATTGATTAAATGGGTAGCATTGGATCCATTACTGGTCACAATGGGCTTTAGTTTACTTAGCAGTTTAATATTACTGAAATCAAGCATGCATTATCATAAAGATGTCAGTACCCTTGCCACAGAAGGCATTCACAATTCTGGAAACACATTGCACACTAAATACTATAGATCCACAATATATATTATATTAATATTAAAAAAAATAAAACTTGACTGTTGCAATTCATGCTTAATTAGTACTGATGCCATATACAGTACAGTATATAAAACCTTTTCTGGTTACATCATAGCACCTTTGGATTATAAACCACATTACTTTCTGACTCGTTAGAATGTTATATTACCTTCAGGCTACTATGTCAAGGTAGACCACAGAGGATCAATCTGTGGGCCAGCATGAAAATCTAAAAAGAGCAAGTAATAGGTTTATTCTATGCTGAAAAGAGAAGAAAAAAAACATAATGTTTTGGCTAATATGTCAATCAGTCAATAAATGAATTAATTAATAGTTGTACTCAGGAAAGAATGAGCCCTGATTATATGTAGACAACATATTTAAATACATTAGAATTAAAAAAAATAAACAGGTTTATTAGTCTACACTTTCTAATGCTAATGATACAACTTATAATGTTGGTAACAGGAGTGATAGAACATCCCAGTCTATGGAAACTGAAGATTTTCCATTCACTGGAACAGCATGTAGTTTCTGAAGGTTATTACACAGGGGTCAGTGAAGAAGATTAAGACCTAATACCAGATGGATTGGAAATCTGCAAACTATGCACTTGCTAATCTTGCTAATGTCTCAGTGATAGTCTAGGAGTTGTTGATGTTGAATTCTGCTGAGAAGGTGGCTCTGCTAAGCAGAGCCTCTTCTTAATATTAACACAACTCACTCAAACAGTAATGAGTGATGTAATTTCTTTTTTTTTTTCCCTTTTTTGACACAAATGGACACAAGTTTTCTTGCTAGAAACTGGTCCATTTAGTTCTCTTACTATGCTGTAAGTCATCCACCCATTTTGACCACGGGTACAACAGCGACTATGAGCTTTGTTATGAACTAAGTATTAATACAAGTTTGCCCTGAAACTTAAAGAAGTTTGGAAAACAGTTGTGTAGACATCACGTCAAGGACATTGCAACTCACAGAGGAAAGTCCAGAGCTTCAAACACAATTTCATATTTTCCTTCAGTTTTATAAGTTGCCAATGCATTAAATTATACTACCATTGGACAGGCAGGCAATCCAATTTCCCATTCATCAAAGTAAGGGCGCTAGGATAAACAATTTCTTGAGACACATTTCACAGATATTCAAGAGTTATGGATATCGAAGGGCCTTTCATTTTCTTCCATCTGAACAGACAGAAACACACTTCTGTCTTTTTGCCTTATTGAGCTTCTCAGTATTACTGAAGCCTGTTAGAGTCATAGGTCAACCACTTTCATACAAAAAAACCTGAGAGATATCGGAAAGACATTATTGCTACTATTACAGGTGTCAAATTGCTGAAGATTTTCTACAGCTGAATAGCAGTAAAAGGTTACCCTAGACTTCTAGGAGCAGTATAATAAACTCATGAAATATAAAACACTCTCATTGTTTGACTCCAGCAATGAATCTGCAGTAAGGTCTGATTTTTATAACTACCCTTTTAACAGAGGGCATGTTTCAAAATTTCTGGATAACCTTTAAAAGAACCATAACAGGTTTTTGGCCCTCTCATTATTAAGCATATTTAAGTCTTATCGTCAAAATTCATTCCAACTTCTCACTGAGGCAATATTCCTGAAGCCAATAAATACAAAAGAAATTGGACAATGAAAGACAGGCCTATCCTACTAATATTCACACTTGAGACTTCTACCACAGATGAGGACAGAAGTGAGAAACCAGTACTGTACTGTGAAATAACTTATGTAAGTGAATTGTGAAAATGTAACACATTTTCAGATCAGACCTTGGCCCTCACTGTATCCTGGACCTGGAAATTCGAAGCAGTACAGAATATATGCTCCCTGACTAAGATCCAGTTAAAGCACAAAATTTAAGGCGCTTCAAAATAAAGAAGCTTCATGTTCTCATATTTCCTCAAACCTATGGAAGAGGAAGTAGAATGTAGCATACAACTATCTCCTCTAGAATCAAAGATCTTTGCTTTTTGTTGTTGTTTGTACATAGTTCATTTTTTCTCATATTTAATATGGAAAAAACAATAAGGATATTGTTAAAAAATATTTGCAGAAGAGATGAGACACTAGCTGCCCACTACAAGCAAACCATAATCCATCAGGCTAAGCAATGCAAGAGAAAGCAATGTTTTACATAGAACAAAAATTTGAAACTTAGAACTGAACTAATGAAAAAACTACAGAAAGTATGAAAGAAAGAAACTAAATAGTAAGAAGAGAATAGTGTTTCTAAGATAATGGTGTCATAGTCAACACTTTAAATGTATGATGGATTTTTGACATGGAAGATGAACACTATTTACAA